CAAACCTATGTGATCCAGAGACACAGAACACAATAAATGCTGTCCAATAGACTCAAAGGATTTGAATCTCTGCCAATCTGCAGAAATACCCAAAAGCACACACTAATCAAGCCAAAGGGTTTAAACCTCTGCCACCTATAGTGTTATGCATCACAAATGTCTTAAAAACTCAAGATAGTGCCCTTCAGACACTGCTCTCTTATTCTCAGGCTACAGCATAATTCAAAACCTCTTATCAAATCAAAATCAAGTCTCTTATAAGCTTCTGTGCCTCACTCAGTTCCCAAATCTCTCTTAATGATATCAATAATAAGTCTATTCTCTCACCTGAAGTTACAAAAGCAAACCCAGAGCTAGAGAGCAAGGCTTTCTGTGCCCAATACACTACAACTGTAGAGGGTTGGAAACTTCTATTCTAATCATACAATGCAGTATTTAAATACTCTGTGATACTTACTAATACAACCCTACTATAGTATCTTCAAAGTGCAAAACTCCATCTCAGATCCTGTGAGTATTATTTGCATGCATATCACAGTCACTGTGCTTATTCTGTTTTAGATCAGGACTATGCTCACTGTTCCCTCATTAGCTGATCAGCTAGCTGGCCTAGCTAGGTCTGCTCACTTTTTTATTTCTCCAGTAAAGCATTCTGACATCAGAGAACTGTTCCAGCCCCTCAGGGTTATCTCTCATGTCTGGAGTCAGCCACAATGACTATGTTCTCTTTTCCAGTGTCCAGACATTTTATCTGATGCATAATATGCCTCAGTTCTGGTCTAGCATGTATCAATTAATCCATCTAATGGGTATGTGTCATACCTCAGTATGATGTGAGGTTCCTTGCAGTGCTATGCATGCTATTTACTCTTTAGTAGTATTTCTCTATTTATTACTTTGTTGTCATCATTCTATTTCTCTGTTCAATACCCAGTTATTCAGATACCTTTCTTTGGGTCTCAGTTCTCTGTTCTAAAGTGTGTGTCATCAGTACATCAATGGCTGTGTATCCTTGATCAATGTGATCAGAATTGCTGATCATATTTCAATCATACTCTTTTTATTTTTAGCATGTCTTTTTGTAATAATATTGGTATGTATAGGGTCAAGTGCTGGAACCTCACATACAGTCTAATTCCTCTGGTATTAGTCTATCACTAGGCCATGCACTCTGCTCATTGTTACTTCAGTTTAGCATCATAATAGCTATGTTTTTTTATGCTCTAGCTCTATTTTCAGTTATATGCTTAGTGGACTGGAATATAGTCTATGTATTCTCAAATTTCACAAATTTACATGCCTGAACATGGAGAGGGCATGTTAATATAGTATAAAATCATGTATCAGAGAAAAACAGAAACTGATAATAGACTAATGCCTATAAGCTATGTTAATTCATCTCATGGCAATAACAAAACTACAGAGAAGTCAACAATGGGTTATGTCTTCAAAATAGCTGGAGGACCTGTTTCATAGAGTAGCTATGCTCAGAAAAGGGTAGCATTATTGACAACTGAAGTAGAGTATGTTGCCATAGTTTATGAGAGATGGCAGTCAATATGGATGGGTTTCTTTTTGGATGAGTTGAAAATCATGAAGGATCACCCTTATCCCATCTGATGTGACAACAACAGCACAATTGACTTTACTAGATTTACCAAAGGCTATAGAAAGTCAAAATATTTCACACTGGATTATCATTGGATATAAGAAGTGGTTCAGCTCAGAGATCTCAACATCCAATATATTCTATCCAAAGATAATCTTGCAGATATCTTCATGAAGACAATTTCAAAACCCCATATGACAAATCTTTTGCAGCATATAGGCTCTACTGGAGTTTGATTGTGATGAGTGTCAACTTCAGGAGGAGTGTCAAGAGATTCAGTCTATGCCTATTGTCAGCATATTCAGATGACCTTTATTTATAGCTGCATAGTCAGTATTCAATAATGCAATCATTGCCTTATTTTAGACTTTTTCTTTTTCTAATGTATCTCAGTCTTTTACATCTATGTCAAGTGAAGACTGAGGTATGTTTTTCATTACTTTACATATTACTATAATACTTACAATTATGTAGATTGTTGTTCTTTGATAGATACTATTAATTCAGTCTTTTACAATCATATCAAGTGAAGACTGAGATTATTGTTTTTTGACAATTTGTACATAAACAGCTGCTGAGACAAGAAGCACAGATACAAATACAAGAAAGATCATAGAATAAAAAGATTATAATTAAATATCTATGCATCACTCAGCATTTTAACATCTTGATACTTCATTTAGATGTTGCCATGCTATGACATTGGTTACAGGCCTCTAAATGAGTGTGAGCATCTTCATTCAACATGAGTTAACATAAAATTAACATTTTTGGCTATATTGAGTAAAGGATATATTCTCCTGTCTTCTTGCCAATTAAAACAGCCTTTAATTCAATATTTCCATCTATGAGATTTTCCATCAATGCCACACCCACAGTGGACAGCAGAATATGGCTGGGATCAAATTCAGATACAAGATAGATTGTAATGAGGGGATTAAACAAAATAATTATTATATAATCTGCTTCATAGTGGTGGCTCTATTCTCTTAGATCCTGATGTCAGACAAAACTTCATACTTTCCTTTGCATTTCTCCAAATGCAAGTGTTAAACTGATAGATACTTGAGGTTTCAAAGTAATTTTTCCAACAATGACTGTTTGATATATCAGCATAGCTTCAGTGTGAGTAAAGAAGAAAAAGACACACCACAACATTAAAAGGCTTATTCTTCTTGCTATATTGGTTCAGCTTGAGACATTCTAGATAGAGCAACATCCAAGGAATGAGGCTAAGGAAAAAGACTTTGGATTGGTCTGACTCCTATTAGTATGATAATTTCAGGCTTGTGAGGTTTCTGAGAGGCACAGAGATTAAAATTGTGCTGACAGCAGAGCAAGGAATGATATTGACAGATATCTTCAACTCTGAAAACAACTGGAGCATGAAGGGCTCAGGATATAGCATCAAAGATAGGTGTTCTAGGTTTGACAGCAGTATACTGAACACAGGGTCATTGGGGCAAGAGTTCAACAGCATCAAAGATCACATCTTGGTGACCTGAAAAGGTGTTAAATGCAATGTGATGGAAATAGAGGAAGGAGAACTGCTGAAAATGACCCTGATTTTCAGCTTTCAAAGATGAGATTAGAGTGGAAGAGTGCAAGTCCATGTATGACTCTCAGATCCATACTCAAAAAAACACAACTCTTCCAACAATGGAAAGGAGGGATCAAAAAGGCTGTCAGCTAGCTCTCCAGGCAGTTCCAGTATCTCTAGTGTGGCTCAATTGGCATCAAGCAAAAGCCACAGATTATGGATCTCAATAGCTATCTGCCTCATGCTTCTTCTCCTGTACACTGATATTTGAATAGATTTATTACAGGATATAAAGAGAGCTCAATAGATGAAACACCACAGATTAGTGTGGCATAAAGTGAGTGAAGAGAAAGTTTTGTCCTTGGTAAGCTATGGAGCTGCCAATTCCAGCAATTCCATGGCAAGAAGCAAAAATATAGCTTCAATTAATGTGATCCATAGACCCATTGAGAGCTGCTTGCAGGAATAACTGCCATCTTCAAATCTGATGTATACTGTGTGAAGAGCATTCAGGTGAGGTGCTATTGTAGCCATCATCTGAGATATGACTTGTATATTTTCTTCCAAATGATGCCTTTGGCAGGGCTCAGACTTGACTGCATGAATGTGAGTTATGATAAAGTCAAGTTCTCTGCAACAGCACATTATTATCACTTCCAGAGTGTGGGGTAGAGGATTTCATACCAAATATAATGCCCCAAAGATGGTAGTGGAAATAGTGGAATGCATGAAAGTGGGTTGTATCATCTCCACCAGATCTTCTTGATACTGGCAGAAAAGCATAAATGACAGAGATGATGAGAGACACTGGCTAATGAAACAATGTCAAGAGGAAGCCAAGAGTAAGAGGAATCATGGATACATTTGATTATCAACAACCAAATATCATTGTCCAGGCTGCCTATGTTGGCCATGCACAACAACTCCCATTATATAAGATGATGCCGGGCCAGCTATAGGTAATCAGGTAGTTCTAGCAGAGATGGCCAATTCATACACTTATCCAGTGGAACCTTATCCCCTTTTCCATATGCTTGGATGCTTTTTTCCCTGCTGTAAGAAAATACACTGTTCAAGCCTACTATCTCACTCAAATTGTGCCATGTTATTAATGCTATACCTACATCCTGTGTCTTGGGCTGTTAGAAGGCATGTTGTGGGTTCCAAACTGCAGCCAAACTGTTTAAACCATGTTACTGTAAGAAAGGATACAAAACAAGCAATATAGATACAGCACACACTAAAGATAGTGTGAAGATATCACTGAAGGTGCTTATCTAAAGTGGAAGAAGTATCAATGCGAGGCAGTGACATGCTTGTCATAAAGGCATATTGCCTTTACAGCACACATGTAATGACAAAAGATACTTTGTAAGAACTCAGTTGTACACAGCAAGAGTAGAACGACTGAGGTATCATGTAAGCTACGGCGAGGCTTTTATATGAAAAACTGTAAGGACAGGAGTACGTATATAAAAGGTAAGTAATAAGTAGGAAAAATACGGAACGGCAGGAACTCAACGTCAACGTGCGGATAACCTCCAATAACATGTTCTTAACAGACTCAAGATAGGTATGATGTCATGTGTATTCTCTAGACACAAAACAACAGAAGCTGTATTGCGAAAGAAACACAACTGTGTACCTTTTCAAGTGAAGTTTGATATACATAATTTGACACCCGGCAAACAGAACGAAGGCAACACACAGGATACACTATGTTTCATTCATTTACATGTGATCATTAGGCAGTATCGTCTACGCAAATACAATGAGCATCCTCCACGGCTCCGAAAGATAAGACCAAAATACACATGAAACAGCATAGAAACACAGCAAACACTGTCTAAGACAGTCAAGAAACGGTGATACAACGAGGTCGCCTCACCATAGCACCAACACCGCACCAACCAAAGCACCTGCCAACACCATCGCCCCTCCGCACTTATGCCCCGATGTAACCCCAAACATAATAGAGCTCGCTCTTGACGCAAAAGTCGTCACGAACCCCTTTGTCGGATTCGGTGACCCGCTAATAGTCACTATTGGTATAGAAGAATCTGGCGTTACAGACACGCTTGCGGACGACGTGACACCTGTAGTGTTGATAATAGCGAAACGCGATGATAGACAATGCATGAGACCAAGCGTCGAGTTGAGGAAGAGAAGGAAATAGTCGTCTCCGGTTGGTATGTCTTCTAGGTATATGTTGAGAGAATTGGGCGAGGCAGGATACGCCTCCACTGCATTTGAAGAAAAGATTTCGTCAAGGCAAAGAATAAGGTGGATAATCCAGGCGCACCATTATAGGCTATGTATGTCACTCCATCCTTGCTCAGCCTCACCAACTCCATGTCAAAATGCGTGATATCATCTTGTACGCCCTTCTCCCATGTCACCACATTGACAGCGCCATTCGACCATTGCGCAGATGCCTGAGGTTCCTTGATAACAAAATAGGCTGGAAAAAATCAAAAGAAAAGGCTGTAAGCAAACTTTTTTTTCCGGGGAGACAGAGCGGAACGAACAATGCGTGGACGACACAAGTGTGATGCAAAGACATAAAAGTAGAAAACGAAGAGGAAGGAAAATTTTGTATGAACGTGTGTTCATTATTTTCTCGTGTATAATGGGTATGGATACAGTTTTCTGTTAGGAGGTGTTTGAAAAAGAGCTGCCTGATGTTGTGGCGACGAAGAACACGGCATCGGAGCATGAACCATAATGCGGAGCAATGAAACCTTGAGGCACTTCTTGGACCCGGACGTGAAAACCTAGATCCCCGCCGCTTACTTAAAAGGTCGCTTAGACATTTTGGAAGACTTCGAGAGTCGGTACGAGGATAAATCAGGAGGAACCAATGATGCGAGCGCTTTACAGACGTGTGGAGATGCTGGAGTCGGGACATCATTGATTATTCAGTAAAAGAAATGATCGACGAGGCCCACCTGTTATCGGAATCAAGGAAATGCAATAAATTCTTCTTCATCAATCCACAACAGGTTGCCTCGATGAACTTTTTGACTTCTTTGGGCCTGTGGACCTTGACATTCACGTTTACCTTTCGTAACGAACTCCATCGTGACATAGAGATGTCCAGCCTTGTCCATTGCACCCTGTCGCACACAAAATGGAATGGCCATTGCTGCATATAGAAGCCAAAAATGACGATCGTCACTTTTCGAAGTGCGCACTCTGACTGAATGTTGTTGAACAGCGAGACCCATTTTCCCAAAAGTGGAGCTAGTTCCAACTTGTCTGTGTTAAGGCCAAAAGTGAGGCAGCGGAGTTGATGGATAGGAAACGGGTTGAGATGAACATCTAGTGTTTCTGTCAGACAGGTGTTACCACAGGGAAGCGAAGAGAGCATTCCGTACCGTGAGTAACAAGCGCCTCATAGACGCCGATGTCTAGCAATGTCAGCTTTTGGAACCCATCCGCTAACCTCACTACGTTCAGTGCACCTTCATACCGAATGCACGAATCCGTTCCAACTATCAATGATTTCACCTTCTTCAATGAAAGAGGTGATTGTGGATGCGCAAGGACACCAAGAGGATTTTTCCAGTCAGAAACAATCTGAAGGGTTTCTAGATAGATGGTTCCAGACTCTCCGGGTAAATCGTTGCTGAACGCCGAGGTGGAGACCGGACATTTGAAGCCCTTGCTTATCCACAACTCCTTCATTTCCGGAAAGCCTCGCAGAAAGGCAAATAAGTCTTCCTGCCTGAAAAACTTGCAGTCATGCAAGTAGACTCTCTTGATGCGGTTGTCGGCAAGGAGATACGTGAACAGAGACGCCTCCATGGTCTCTTTCCTTCGGAATATCTTCGGACCATATCCCTGCAGTTTAATCTCTTCAAGATTGACCAGAGAATTCAGGACTCGCACCACGACTGTGGCCGACATGAACTGGCGTTCTGTAGGCCATTGGTGATTTCGTTGCAGATGAACAGTATGGACCAAAGGAGCGAGATGCGGTGAAGAAGAGAAGAGACGAAGGAATTGTTTCCACGTATTCCGTCGCGGTTCCAGCTGGATGTGAACTGAACTGAATATATGCACTCTAGCACGAGCCAGGAAAGGTCGGCCGGCACGTAGACACACGATCAAAGTCTGGTGATCGTCGCATAACTGGTCCAGTACGCAGTCGATTAGTTCCTGTGGGAGAACTGGGCATCGGGCCTTCTGCTTTGGTCTCCACTTGAAGTGTCGCAATGGGTTGGAGATGACAAGACCCATCTGTAGATGAGAGTTTGAGAAAGAGTCACAAGGCGATTAACGGACTGTGGCATCACTTTTGCGGTGCTCGCACCGACTGCATGGCAGACAAAATTAAGTTACGGCAGTACATGTTCCCGTGAATCCGGGTAAGGCACCTGTAATCTCGCCGTGGGAGTGGATAAACAGACGAATCTTTCATGGGAGAAGGAATTTTATGAGGAGTATGGTGTCATTCTGGTTCACGGGCGCCACTTGCTTGTAGCCAAAGACTGCGCTCGCTGCGGATGGGAGGCCGTCTGCTGGTCGTACATGGTAAGGACCATGACAGATGGGAAAGATGTGGAATACAAGATCACCACAAGATGTTCCTGCACTTTACAAGCTGCCAAATGAAAGCTAATGGTAGCAGGAACGGGCTTTGCTAAGTCAACAGGGCACCCTTGAAGAGTGAATCGTGGTTAGGAAATCGTGAAAGAAATATCAGGGACAACATACCGAAGCTGGATTACATCCTATTATTTAGGTCGTGCGAGTTGACCTCCCAATCAAAGCTCTCCCTCACGGGGTGCGACATTCCCAACGATAAATTCAGACACGAGTAGAAGCAAGACCAACGACGCGGTGGAATATGCAGAGTACTCAAGGGGACTTTGAGCTTCGTAGACGTCAAATGTTGAGCTCGGGTCTTCCGAATGTGGAAACATTCAAATTGAAGGGCATCGGCCTTCAAAATTCCAAACCAATACCCTTTTGTCTCCCCAACTGGACAGGGAGATTCCTTCTCCACGCACCATTTTCATCAGTGTTATCGATGCACATACCCTATCAGGACTTTTCCGTAACCTCACCGGTGCAAACCCTGCGGCCAAATTGAATGAGGTCATAACACTACTTGAAATCCGGGGGCATTGGATATCGAACGGTTGCTCATTCTGACTCGGCCTTCTCTTGAGCCTCTGACTTTTGAAGATCCCTTAGCATTTTTTTTGTACGTTTACGTCTCCTTTTCCTTGTTGTAGTAGGTTTTCATTTGATTATGTTCAGCACCACCGATGGATTTTACCTACTATTTTAAGCTGAGGACGCTGTGCTAACGGATGCCGTTGAACGCCTTGACAGCTCCACCCGAATCCGAATACATACAGCCCTTTTCGGACTCGCTCGCAACGCTGCCTCACACCACCCTGCTTGTGATGCTGAGTCTAACGCAACATGCAGGCGACGCCATTGTGCAGATTAACAGCCAGTCGTTGGCACTTGGGGATATTTTCAGTCAACACAAGCAAACCTACCTTCACATCGTTTCTGGAAGCATCGGACCCAACGACATTAACAATGGAAATACTAGTGGCGGAAAGACTTGCTCTCTCATGCATGGTTCAGTGCCCGATCATCGTGCGCGAGGAAGGGCGCTTCTTGTTAATGCGCCGAGTTTGGGCGACGGTACATTGACGGAAATCTCACCATTCGGCACCATTTTTAGCGATACTCAGATGAATGTTTCCGCTGTATATACCAATCCAAACACGCACACAGTTAAGGCAGGCTACAGCAGCGACGAAAATTGGAGATATTGTCATAATTTGGAAATGACGCGTATTCTTGGCAGTGCCGTGTAGTGACCTAAAAGAAATCCTGGAGATCGGCTGTGCCGAGTGAAAATATTACTCCAAGTACAAAGTAGGTTTGTATCCACACATCAAACATGCACATATCTCGGTAGAGCCCCCATTAGTGGCGCCTCGGCCGACATAGGCAGCGGTCACGCAACGCGTGTCGACGACCTCATTCGTAATAACCGTTTAACTTTTAGCGCTTTAGCATTCTACTGTATTGAGATGGTTATTTACTTACCTCATCGAAGACCAGCGTTCCGGATAGGATTAAAAATTGAGAACATCCTGTGTGATTTCAACAAACAGTAAGACGTGCTGGGTTGCGGTAATCGCAGTGTTTTTTGGGGGGATTTGAAGGTAAGATAAGTGATACCATATGCTCGGTGGCGGCAGCCAAGGACATAGACTAGAATGGTCGTCACGGACGTAGACCTTGGAGCTTGGACAGTCACACGCCTATACCAAGCAAACACCCGAGACGAGCTCGGCCATTCCTAGGTAGTATCTGGGTTCGGCTTGGAATGCATGTGCTAGTTCACCACGCCGTTGTCGAGACGGTGTCTTCGCCGGTATTTGGTGCTGGCCACGAGCTGTGGGCCAAAAGGAACGATCAGTTACTACATAGTACCTCGTTTGATGCTGATCCAGATGATCGTTGTTTTTCGAGGGTCTCGAGGGTGCAGACATTCCCGTAACCAGCGGCTACATAGTAAGCTGACATTGACGATGTCGTGGTTCTAGTTCAAGATCCGCGTGATGCGTACACTTCATGTTGGGCCTATGTTTGATGCGAAAAATGAGATAAAATTTTACACGTAGTATGCTCGATTATTACATCCACGCGGTAGTCTAATTCCTGTTTTAAAATTCTTTACTGAATCAAAACAAACAACGACGAGGAAAAGAGTGAATAAAAAGCATGAAAGGATAACACAAATGAAAACAGTTAGTTTATATATGGGATGGCTGGGTGGGGAACGATGGTGAGTGCGTGTGGCGTTGGGTTTGCATTATATCTGAATGTCCGTCCAAAAACGAAACGAGAGAATAGGCACGACTACGGCGTACATACTAGTTAATAGCGAGTGTGAGTTATCTGACCAAATGTGAACATGGAAGAAAAGCGCCGGAGCCTTGCGCGATAAAATTATTACACGTGAGGAGGGTATATATTGAGAACACTGTTAATGACGATTTCGAAAAGATGTGTTGTGAATCCGGAACTGGTAAGAAAGTGGTAGTTCGTTTCAAGGGCAGATGGTGAGATGGTCGTGGCTTCGTAGATCGGAAAATGAGCGTTTTATGTGTATAGGTAGTCGTAGCGAATCCAAAATTTATAATTCAAACAAAGAACTGCGTGCTAAAAAAAAATGACGGCAATCAGCATCCTGCGGATAAGGTGCTAAGAAAAAAACATACTGGATCCGACTGGCAGCATGAACTTCCATCTCCTCCATCTTGTATGAATTTAACTCCTCCTTTATCCGCTGCGCCAGTGCAGGCGTGAGTCGGCTCCACGTGGCAGGCTCACTTCGTCGATCATAGACAGAAGCAGAAAACGTGTCGTATACCGACAGATTACTGGCAAAAGCTAAGCGCTTACTTGTAGGTGCTGTCGCAGACCGGTGTGTTAAAGTGGGCGCTGCGGATGTCATGGTTGACAAAGCAGGCGCTGACGAGTTGAGATTAGGATGGTTGAATATCGAAGATGCCTTTTCAGGTATGGGAGCATGGGGCTGGGGGGATGAGGACATCTCTCTGGCCGAGTCAAGGCTCATTCGACCAGACGACTCGAATGTCAAAGGCGGAAGCAAGGGGGCTGACGGCAATTGTCCATGTGCCGATGAGTGCGATGGATGTCTATGGAGGCCATCAATGTGATCAGGATCAGGCGAAGGTATCCGTGCCAGCGGGCCCAACTCTGTTTGCGCGGGTGAATTGTATGAGTTTGACCGTACCCGGTTCGGTAGCGTCTGCTCGGCAAGGTACACTTGCTGATCATAAGAGGCTGCATCTGTGAACGAGCAAAGGAAGTGAGTAAAAGGATCATAGGCGGTGAGTCCTACTTACATTTTAGTATACCTTTGGTTGGCGTCCGTGTCCGCTCAACACTACGTCTCACGTCGACTGCCCAAGGTTCGGGATCCTCCTGATACTCATACTCATCGTCCATACTCACTCGTTCGAGTCCTTGTCGTATCGTCACGTCCTCCTCCTCTTCTCCTTCACCCCAATCTTCGTCATCCTCCCAGCCCTCTATATGATCACTAGGGCCAACCTGACGACCATAATGGCCATCCTCGCTGTCCTCTTCATCTTCCTCCACTAGAACCTTCGTGCCATCTTCGTTTACCCGCATCCCCGCTCCCTTGACAGGCGATACAGATCCCTGACGCGTCGCCGTATTCTTCTCCCAGGCGGCTACACCGCTGCTCCCATTCACCTTGACCGCGTTCGCGTTGGCATTCGCCGCAGCCTCCGCTTCTTGCTGAGCTTTGGCTTTGGCAGCTGCCTCGGCATTGCTTTTTAGCGTGTGCTGCCGTGCTAGCTTTGCTGCTGGACTCAGCCCGCTCATCTCCCCTGCAACATTCCAGTCACTACTGCTCCTGTCCAACTCCGCGGTGACATGCGATACGCTTGCCTCACTCGCCTCTCCCTTCGCGCTGCCTTTCTTGTCCTTTTTCTTCCCTTTCTTCTCCCCATCCTTGTCCTTGTCCTTGTCTTTGAACAAAGACGTGATTCCAGCTAACGAGTTTCGCCTTGCCAGTCTCCCCATTGATCCCAACTTGCGGATCATTACACTCGCGCTACTGACAGTAGACGATAATGATATGTTGTCCGTGCTCGCGTTCAACCGTGAATTGAATAAAGAAGCCGCCCGACTCTTCTTTTTCGTCTGCACCGTCGAAGGAGCTCTTGTCGAAACATCGTCACCAGGACTATCTGGACTGCGCGTGCCACCTCCGGGTTTACTCACAGCAGCATCGATAAGAATAGGCGTCTTGGGTTTTAGTTTTGAGCTACCAACCCGAGATGAGGCCTGTGCCGATGAGTCTTCCTCCTCCTCCTCCTCCTCCTCCTCCTTCAAAGCCTGAGCAGCATTGAAAGACAACGCCCGTCGCAGTCGACCTTTGAGTCCGCCACTACGCAGCATGCTGGCACTAGGAATAGGATCGCGCATGGCTGCCAAATCACTGTCGTCACGAGACATCCGCTTCTCGGACGCTGTAAACGTTCCCTGAGATAAAGGGGAAGGTCGAGCGGGACGTGGCGTGCTTGGAGACGTCGCTGACGACGTTGCGGCTGTAGGAGATGTAGCTGAATGGCTAGAACCAGGACGATTAGACGATGAAGCGGAAGATGAGGAAGACAGTGTGCGATTGTGAGGTGGTCCGCGCTGAGGTCCGGACGCCGGCGACGATGTTGATGTTGAGGGCGAAGACCGTGCAGAATTTGGAGCTGAGGCCGCCGAGGATCCATTCCTACTACGGACGCTCCCGTTCGCAGACGGCACGTTATGCCCGCTGTGCCCACTCTGATTGCTGTTTGTCCGCTGGCGTGAACTGTGCGACGAATTGACGGAGGAAGTTGATCCTGATGCATCTGGCCTGGCATATGGAGGATTCGGAACCCCACCGGACCGCCAGTCACTGGGTTCACTGGTTTGGGACTGTTGCCGACTGGGGCGTCGGTATGGATGGAAACCAGGGTATTGTCCATTCGGCTGCTGCTGTTGTGGATGGTCGCCAGCGCCAACTCTATGGTTCGAATGAGGCGGAGGGGTACCGCTAGGAAATGGATTGAACACGTTGTTAATTTGATTTTGGGAAAAGTAGTCATTGGAAGAGGAAGGGGTGGGTCCGCTTCTTTGCGAAGAAGAGGAATGATGTTGTTGGGGCGGCGATACGTGTGGAAAATTCTGGGGGGAGTGCTGAGCAAGTAGCATATTGTGATACGCCCATTGTGCCGCGAGCTGTGCGTTGGCAGGGTCAAAGTAGGGGGCTTGCTGGGGTATCTGAGGATAGGGCTGTTGCTGTTGCTGATTTTGATAGAAAGCCGGATAAAATGGTTGGGCCGAGATAGACGGCGTCCAAGCGCCCTGCGGCTGCTGCTGGACGGGATACGGATAAGGCTGTGAGAGCTGCTGCGGCTGATGGTAGCCGCCCTGTTGCTGATTATGCGCGGTGGATGCTTGCGACGGTGAATGATCGTTTGCAGAAGGCGAGCGCTGTTTCGAGTTGGAAGAAGGAACGTCCATTGTCGATTCTCTCAGAGGGTACTGCCAATCCGAAGGTGCGAGAACGGCCATCGACTTTGACCGCAAGAAGCAGGTCCCGTTCTTCTGTGGAAATGAAAGAAATACAATGCAATGAGCAAAATGCGAGCCAGGAGAGACCACGGAGGAGCAAATAGGACAAAGATAATCGTTTCGCGTGTCAGTGGGATTCAATGATGCCAATGGGAAACGTAACGCACCGCTTTTGAGTACTAGTAGGGATGGAGCACGGTGGCAAGATAGTCGTAGAGAACGTCGGCAACGGCGACAAGAGCCGCAGACACTGTACACGGGTGCTGGTCGATGGCAACAACGACGACAGCGACGGTGCAAATCAGTTGCTGGGAGCCACAATCAATAATCACGGCCAAATAGGACTGCCACGTGCTCCCGCCGTCACAACGTCACACTTTCCCTGAGCTTCATTATTTTTCTTATTTTTCCGTGTCAGTACTAGTCCCTCATCAAGTCTTGCCGCTAGTGGTAAGCCCTTCCGATTAACATAGTATGCGTTTCTTGGCTAGTATCACTGGAACTTGCGATTTTCTTTCTCTGTAGTCTTTCTCTTTGTTCTATTCAACTGGATTACCTCACTGTGCTGTGGCTAGTTCTGTTCGTGATCCGCTCAGGGAACACCGTCTATTGAACAAATCGTCCAGGTCTTGTCGTCTCGGTACCTTGAAGCGGCCGTCCGTTCTCTCGTAACCATCCAAGATGACCGGTCTGTAGCCGGGATCTAATTGGTTGCCAGCCAACTTTCCTCTTATCAGCGCTCAGTCACCTCAGGGGGCCACAAGGGGACCAACAGATCCCTACAAGAATCTTTGTTCTACGTAGAAGAACGCGTCGAAATCACAAAAGTGAGGTCGCTGCGATTCGCCTCGATATCAGCTGCTCTTGCTTCCATTATGTGCTTCCGAACGATGGCGATTTCTCCACCATAACACTGCACGGCCTCCTGATACTGCCCCTTTTGACTCTCCTATGATCAAGTTAAAATCGATGCGTCTCTTCAAGCTTCAGTATTGCATTGCTTGCCACCCAGTGGAGTTGCCAACTCCGATCTGACATGGGTTTCCTTACACACAAGTACTAGCTCTTTTAGGGCAGGGGAGGTCCGGAAGCTCTCAAACTCCAGAACTGATGGCGCGTCATTTATGTATGTTCAGACAACATATCTGCCTGCTGTTTCTCTTCCGCCGTGCGATGTGATTTGCCGACGCTGCACAATGGATTTCGAGATCATTGTTACTCGATCCTCACCACGCGTTTGCCTCGGAAGTGCTTTTTCTTTGATGTGCAGTTAACATAGACAGGTTGTCCTTCCTCTTACTACGCTGTACGCATGTCCTAAGCGTGCAGAGCAGGCTGTCATATGTGACTACGCTTTGATCCCGACAGCTGTAATCGGCCGTCGTAATCGGCTGTACGGCATCACCTTTTGGGACTATAACCCGACACTTGGGGCTCGAGGTGCTTCAGTGATCATCGATCATCAACCATAGGACCACTCTGTTTTCATCAGCTCTGTGCTAGAGATTGTCGGAGGCTATACTGATATCTCCACTATATCTTTTCTTGTTCTAACACTTGATAGCTTGAGTTTGACGGTCACAACTGTCCTTAGTAAATCACGCCGTGTTTTCATTAGAGACATCGGGCCGGAACGCGTTCTTGACATTTGAGAAGGATGGTTTGAATAATTCGGGTGTAGTAAACACTCTACATTTCTTCGGCAATATAATCAAATTGACGGAACAGCAGAGTCCAGAGTCAGTCTTAAGTCTGGAAGGTATCGCGTCAAGTCGCGTTGAGTGCCAGGGTGAAAGGGTTGAGCGAAGCTCCGGGACCTTGTGGAAGAAGTAATGCAAGTTGCCGAAACATTATAATTATCTAGCGTTGAAATGAAACGGAAGCCAACTTGGGGTCGAGGCACCGCAACAGGAATATGGCTACCACAAGTCAATTGGTTTGCGCAACCCGCCACCAATTGTTTTACGAGCACGCCGGAGGTTGACCGCTTCATTCAATGCTAAAAGCCTCCGGGCTATTATTATCGCCATGATTGGATATCTGTCAACGAGCTCCAAGCAGGCGCTCAACATCGACATCATCGCAGTCAGGTTTGCACAAGCGCGGTCGGTCGAGGCACGTCCCTGTCAAGAAAGCCAGTCAGCCCCATTTCTTTTGCCCCCAACCAATTCTGACTGCGTTGAATAATATCCCCGAGCCAAGAATGGCAATCGTCCTAAACCTCGCTGTCCGTCTGTACGCGTCGGAGGTCCTCCTCCGAGATGCAAGCCCGTTCCTTTGAATTATATCAATGCATCGCGACAATGTTTTCCCCCACGGGCGGTAGAATCGCCTAGCTCTACGATAGCAACGTTTATCATCTGTCAGCAAAGAAATTGTCGCTTTCAATAAACTTTGTAATAACTCCAGCAGGCCATCAGAGTGAACAGTAAAAGGGCGATCGTTCCTTCACCGCCAGACTATCGAGACTAAGTATCATAGGTCCGTGTGGTATTGACGGTGGGTATAAGAATGTTTGTCCATCGTGCCCCTTTTGGGGCCTCTTTGAAGTTTGGTCACATTCTTCAACGGTCTCCAAGTCATAATGGGGGTGCGTTGACAGAGAGGAAAATTCGAAATACCGAGCGGTGAGTGCGGATACTACTGGATTACGCTATGCGCCATCTTATTCTGCAACCATGGGGATAAAAGTCTTCAGCGGGATCTGAAATGCTTCTGTGAATGACATGCGCGAGCCCGAAGCCTGTGCGCGCGGAAACCATGAGGGGGTCCGTAACAAGTTTTGTTGCGAGGGACACAAAACATACACCACGGGGATGATCAAGACTAAACGTACGAACGATACACATACAGTACATATCCTTTTGTACAGATGACAGCACCGCACAATGTCCTATATTCCGGAGATAAAGAAGGGATGACAAGAACTGGAAATTTTGTGGATCTCCATTCCCAGTTGACTCGTCATAGCATTTAGGAAGATTGTAGACTGAGAGTGGTGCTATCTGTTAGAAGTAATAAATGGCGGAAGGAACTGGAGAGAATGCATAAACTGGATGTCATCAGCTAGCAAGACCGTCGCGAGTATGCATATGGGGATACAGAAAAGGTTTTAGCGTTGGTGATTTTGTCGCTTGCCCTTGGTGCCGTCCTCGTAGGAGACAGTCAAATGTGGCTTGAGCGCTAGTGATGTTTTTCTCTGGCGGTGGACGTAGTACTTGTCAGTGTCATAAGTGTTCTCATTATCTTTCAGAGGCTCAGCTGGCGGTAACGAGATAGCATATCAATAGGGCCAAGACTTGAGGTGACGAAGAGGAAAAGGCGACACGATGGATTCGGGTTTTATGGGTAAAAAAAATTACTTGCGGTTGCATAAACGAGTCGTGTACCATTTTCCTACCGCTATCACTTGTGACTTATCGAAGTTTGATCTTGAAGAATCGAGATCATGGCCTCTATAGTGCGTACGTATTATGTGAATACCATGCCAGGCTCCCAGTACCAGTGAGCGCTAGTGAGCTTTAGCAATTGTGTAAAGAGTCAAGACGGAAGAACAGATACGGGTTGAAGTGCCGCGGTAACATGCCGCGGCAGGAGTGTCGTCGCCCAGGACGAATAGATGTGTGTCATGTGTTTCTATGCGGCCTTCTCCGCAATAACTAAGAGCCCAGGACGCTGTCAGCATCAAACTGCTCATCTCTCTGAAACTCTGGGTATATTCATCGTGCTAACGAAACAGAGTATGCCCGCGTTTGGGGCCTGCCACTGAGTCGCCCTTTCTCGAAGTTGCTCGCAGTGGATCCAACTTGGGTTCTCTGTGAACGTATCAACCGATAGCAGCTAACAGCAGGTGGCAGGAGTCCAGTCTGGATGGCTCTCCTGATTAGGCAATTCGTTGATTTACATACCTTGACCCTTCACAACTTCAACTTGTTCACGTTCCGGTCACTAGCCTGAGAATCAGTTTCTTTCGATTCGTTCCTATCTTTCACCTGTCGGGCAGGCCAAGTAGCCCACTTTTACGGAGACACTACACAGATACCATCAGACACGTCGCGACCACACCATGCAGAGCTGGGAGCTTTTCCGCGTCTCAAGGTTATCTAGGCGCTTAGGTAGCTTCTGTGAATGATCGATTTTTTACCTTTCGAAGCTTTCCTTGGGGTCTGAATTTGGCATTGTTTTGCATGAAGCATGCCTTTATAAATCAGAAAGCGGCATGGCCATGATGCAACCATGTCTCCCAAGCAGAGATATCGCAGCGACCTTTTCAGCCCTGAAAAGTTCGCCTCGGGCGATCTGCTTGATCGTGCGTTAGAGGAGCTGCGAACCATCCTCACAGAGGACAATTTCAAGCACGTTTTTCAGGAAGTAATTGACAATGAGAGCGCTCGTATTCTTTTCTTGGTCTTGTCATGTAAGTTCAGCTCGTCAAGCTATCTCATAGTCTATCAGGCTCTTACATCTTCACAGTTTTGAGTGAGACCACCTCGTTGATTTCGTGGTTGTTGGAGACATTTCCTTCTGAAGCCATCAACTACGATGCCACCGTCCACTGCAGAGTCATATCCTGTCTCTCTGCAGAATTTATTTCATCTTCTTTTGTTGAAGAGAAAGAAATATGTGCCCGATACCACGAGATAGCTCAGATCGGACCCAAGGTTTTGAAATCTCTTGTCTCCTTCCTTGGGCGCATCGCTGGATCAGAGTATTACAAGAAGGGAAAGGCTCAAATAAGCAAGTTTCAGCAAACGAAGGGAGACGGTCCTTTCGCTTTTGTCAAAAAGGATTTTGATATTTTGAAGATCGACATCCCTGAAACTTCCAGCGAGGCATCTGTCTCCATGGATCATGTTTTGCAAAGTCAGAAGGATACACTCAAGGTAAGTGCTGCTCTATTGGCATGCTCCTCATTGATAGCCGACACGTACCCAGTTCTATTTAGAGCTGCTCCGTCGTCCTGAGATATATGTATCTCTCAAGGAGCGTTGTATCGTTTCTGCGTCTCTCATTGATGAAGAGAAAATCGCTCCGGGGTTCGTAGTCGAGTTGCCCTCCGCATATCCGAACGTTCAGCCGATGAAGTCGTATGTCATCATGTCCTTTAGCGAAATGACATCACATTGATATCTATCAAGGGCATTATATTTTGATACTGCCGAGGGTTTTGGAGAATGGACAGTCGTCATATCTACGGACGCTGACAATTTTTTGCGGAGCGCCCGCAAGAAAAATCTCTACACGTTTAACATCACTATGAAGAAGATTAAGTATGTGTCGCATCATATAGTATCATATATTAAGTGCGTTTGTCTGAATACATTGCAGGGAGCTCTCATGCGGTCACTTTACGAACAACAATCAAAAGCCTCTAAGTGGTAGTGTGGCTGAAGTCCCCGTCTTTGAGGCCAAGATAACTCGTGATCTACGACTTGTTGTAGGAAACCTGTTCCTTATCAATCCCGAATATTGCTGACCCCGCTTTGCAGTACCAAATCGATCTAATCCCAGGTGATGAATATGTACGTACGGAGGATAATTTTGTAATTCGAGTAACTAAATTACACTGGTTCATTGGAAGAGAGAGCAACAAGGTAAGTGTATGCTCATATCTCTTTGCTTGCTCCTCACAGTTTTGAAGCTATCAAGATTTTTGGTATCTATACGCATGCTCAAATGGACAATCGTCTGTGGAGTTCCATCAGCAGTCAGTTGCAAAAAAAGGGAAAACAATACCGCAAAAGGCAATATTTTCTCATCGTAATTTGAATGCCTGTAGGCTAAATGTGATGATACAGATGTGCGGTTAGGAAGCGTGCCGACTCCCAAGCTTCAAAGAACATTTTTATTCCGGCGTTCTTCCCTCCGCTACCTGAAGTATTGCAGACGGAGATCGAAGACATACCAGATCTACGTCCTGATGAAACGGTTGAGGTTGATTTGACATCTTTTTTCCCTCTTAACCAAATACTGACCATTATACTCAGGTCCATTCAAGACTCCTGTAAGCCATATAGAGGAACTGACTCCTGGTCATTGAATCTCCTACAGATTTGAGAAATACATCACATTCTCGCAGGTATGTTCTGGTGCTTCTGATCCGCTGACCGACGATTTAACCATGAGGATGTACAGCCCTTTTTAAATAGTATGTATCTGTGTGATACTGTCCGGAAGTCTTACCTGATCCATTTCGGTAGCCGTTTTAGCAGATGTAGATGCAACGTTTCCTCATATGGTTTCGTGCGCCGCAATCTTTTGCTCTCCTTGTCCATTTGCTGACAGCATGTATTCACAGCACGCAAGAGAAACGTATTATAGAGCATCCAAAGTCCTGCTACGTTATAGGCCGTAGCGGCACAGGGTATGCATGGTTCACCGGGCTTCATTCTTTTGCTCACACCTATTTGATGTAGAAAAACAACAACCATGTTATTCAAAATGTTGCTTATCGAGAGGACATTTCAACTCATGGAGTCGGATTTACCTCGTCCTCGCCAAGTCTTCATCACCAAGTCTAGAGTGCTTGCTAAGAAAGTGCAAGAGTACTTTGTGAAGTTGTCCAGCTCCTTAACAATAGCATCGCAGCCATCTGTTGACCTCATGAACCTACCGAGAGCTCCACAGTATCATGCTGATTTAGGGCTGGTTCATGCAGATGACATTGCAGATTGGCGGATTGATTTGCCAGCCAAGTACAGTGACCTCAAGGAGAAACACTTCCCGCTATTTATCACGTTTGACGGTGTAAGCAGCAGCTCTTTTTATTCGTGCTTCTCATTTTCCCGATTATAGCTTTGCGACATGTTGGAAGCTGACATGGGCATCCAAACGTTGACCGCCGCGAGCCGTATTGGCATCAAGCACAACAAATCGCACATGACTCTTATTACTTTCGAGTCCTTTTGCGAGTCCTACTGGTCTCATTTCCCTCAGCCATTGATCAAAGGATCAGGTTCTGCTCTTCTCCTTTGTCTAAGCATTGGCACTGGAATGACATTTATTCAGATCCTGCCTTGGTGTACAGCGAAATAATAGGTAACACATCTATATATTATCTCAATGGGCTTGACCTGAACCTAGGATTTTCAGGTGTTATCAAAGGATCAGCAAAGACACTCAGCGAAGAGAAGCAGCACCTTAGCAGAGCGACTTACCTAGATCTCAGTGAACGCCGGCAATCCACATTTGCAGACCAGAGACCCGAGCTATACAAACTCTTCGAGTTATATATGCACAAGAAGAAGTTGCGAGGAGAGTACGACACTGGTGATCGGTAAGGTCTTCATTGAACTTGCCCGAGTAGAAGATAATTGGGGTCTAGAACCCATAGGATCTTGAAGTATTTTGCAGAGAAAGGTGTTCCAGGACAAGGACTCGATCATTTGTGAGTCATCTGCTTCTACTCTTTATTCCTTGTCAATATCGTTCCAGATATGTCGACGAAGTACAGGACAACATGCTCATTGACTCTATGGGTAATTGTCATTTTTTATCTTCATCTCGCATGATGAAGCATTGTCAACTAACCGACTCATCATTTAGTCTTGAGGGCGCTATGTAACAATGCGGATGGTCTCTTCTGGGCGGGTGACACTGCCCAGACGATCTCTGTCGGAAGCTCCTTCCGTTTCGAAGAGTTGAAAGCATTTCAGTGGAATATTGAGGTAGGATCTACTCAGAATATTTCCCGTACGCAAGTCTGATTAGACGAGTAGGATCAGTACCGGAGGAGGCGCGGACTTGGATGTGGATCCAAGCAATTGCCTGAAATGTTTCAACTTGCTGTCAACTATAGGTCCCATGCAGGCATCGTTGATTGCGCACACTCCATCATTGACCTTATCATGACGTTTTGGGAGGATTGCATTGATCGTCTTTCTCCAGAAATGGGCATTGTAGATGGGGTCAAGCCCATCTTTTTTAACAATGAGGATCATGCCCAGTTGGAGCAGTTCCTCTTTCTTGATGGTGGTGGAGCTCCTATTGAGTTCGGTGCGCAGCAATGTTAGTCTTCTGTTATTCCCATTAAAACTACCTGACTCCAAATATCTGTGTGTAGGCATCATCGTTAGGAACGAAACAGCGAGAGAGAGACTCCAACAGAAAGTCGGCAAAGTCGGTCTAGTGCTGTTCGAGTTTTCCATTGTTATGTCATTAAGTTACTGATGGGTCAATGTTTTAGTACCATATACGAAAGCAAGGGGCTTGAATTCAATGACGTAGGTCGATATATATGTTGCAAATGATTTTTTTTTTCACTGCGGCGTTGTATCCCTTCAGGTCTTGCTTTATAACTTCTTTGCTGATTCACCTACCGGTCCCGCACAATGGCGTGTTGTGCTGAATGCCATCGAGGAGAGCAAGCAGGACCCTAGGAATCCACCTCCTCGGTTTGACTATATCCGTCATGCCAATATTTGTAGTGAGGTAAGTGTGAATCACGGTGTCGCTTAGGTTCGAATTAATGGTATTGTTCAGCTGAAATGCCTGTACGTTGCAATCACCAGAGCTCGTGAAAATATCTGGATTGCAGATGGATCTGAGACGGGAGAACCCATGAGAGTAAGTTGGCACTATCCTATCCAGACAGTATTCTTATTACAGTAATCAAGATCTTTTGGAATAGCAAAAACTTGATAAACAATTTCACGCCAGGATCTGATGTGCCCCGTCTTGCGTCTGAGTCGACACCAGAAGAATGGGCTGCAGAGGGACGTGAACTTTTCAATGCGAAGCACTTCTCTCAGGCCAAGCGCTGCTATAGGAAGGCCAATCTTCCTCTCCTGGCATCTATCGCAGATGCCTATGATTCACGGATGAAGGCTCGTAATGTCGTTGGTACATCGAGACAAAAAGTGCTCGAACGACGTTCTTGTTTCGCTGAAGCAGCCAAGTCGTTCTCAGAATGTGCTGACTTCACTTCAAACTCAAGAGATTTCTTGACATACTTCAGGATTAGTGGCGAATGCTTCGAACAAGCTGATGAGAAGAATCGGGCTGCTGAAAAGTTTCTACTGGCTCAGGAGTACACCCGTGCTGCAGAGCTGTATAGAGATATTGACAAATTTGATGAGGCGGTAGTGGTTGTGAAGGGTCATGGAGACAAAATGTTGTCGGAGGTTGTCGAAGATGTCATCAAGCTTGCAAGGCTAACATACTTTTCTAATGGCGAGATGACGTGAGTCTTTTCCTGTAGTGTATTGACCAACCATTCTCATTTTTTCTAAACAGAAAAGCTCATCAGCTTTTTGACTCATTCGAAGAAGAAGTGACGTATCTGAAAGAGAGGGATCTCGATGTCGCTCTTGCCCACTTGTTGGAAATGACGGGCCGAATCAGCGAAGCTGCTGAATTGCATTGTTCTAACGGTCGCAAGCAACAGGCTATCGAGCTTTTCCTCCGTGAGGCTGAAAACAAACGTGCCTTATGCCGAGCTCAAGAATGCATTCTCGACGAGCTTTGGCATACGATAGCTTTTGACGTTGACCCGAACGTCATAAGATCAGATCTGTCTGTCTTGCAGCTGATGCACTTTGCTTCACAGATTGATGAGGCTTCTGTGGAGTGGACTAAAGCTGATGAAGTAAGTGTCGATCTCACTTCTTACTTGTCACAGCTTATACAGGTGCATTTTAGCTGTCCATGTTTAGGGCCATCATAGATAATCAGACATCTCAGCTGCGCGCGCTGGGATCGAAATTCCACAAGGCTGATCATAGTTCTGCGGCTTTACTGTGCCTAGATCAATATTTTTCTCGGGCACCTCGGATCCAAGACTTGACACTTGTCGACGCAGTCGAAGAACTCGGCCTGTTTTATACCTACGCGGGCCTTCTTTCCGCTGCTGCATCCCGAACGGACCCTTGGGAAGATGTAACAATGGCGGCGATGTTCGGTTTTCGACGAATATCAGAGAATGAGTTTCTTGTCTCCAAGAATGCATGGCTACAGAAAGCGGCTCTGAATCTTCCACGTAAGAGCGTGCATAGGGATCACGACTCGAATCTCAGGTTGTCGGCATTCGAATTACGTGGACTATTTCAATTTGCTCTTCGAAGTCATCTCAAGGGAAGGATTGCCGCTGAAGATGACGATTGTGCGAAAAGTCAAGCATTCCAGATTTGCCTAGTTTTTGCTGAATCTGGACGTTGTGACCAATGCCCACAAGTTCATATGTCACCTTTGATGATAGATACCGGTTACTATAATATGCGCGTTCGCCTGCACCTGCAACAAATCTTGATCTTGGGGTCACTTAGTGGGAATGCTTGCGAACAAATGGAAAGCAGAGAAACCCCTGAGTACATTGACATTCTTGTTCTCCAACTTTGCGGTATTCATTCTTATACAGGTTCTGGCTCAACCGTCTTTGCGATGCTCTCTATCCCCCACATCATATGTTCGGTTCCATTTCCTATCTCGTGCTTTCTACAATTCCCGAAGCTCCAAGAGCATTGGATATTGTAAGAGATTGGGTGCGAATATTTGTTTGTGATCGGAAGTATCTGCCTTAGATGACTTTCGTCCCGGATGTGATACGGACAGCTACCATCGCTCTCATGTTTGACCGAAGTCAAGCGGGTTATCTCAGGAATCCCGCATATATCAGCGCAAAACATCCTCCATCCAATTATGTTCGCCAAAACAACGGTATTGCTATTCATAATCTTCTGAGCTCAATGTCGGGAGATCAAACATGGTCTCTTACTGCTGGTTTTCTGTTTGTCGAGTAAGTCTGTGTCTTGTCGATCTTTGCTCTAGGTTGATCTTCTTTCTAGGCTTGTTGTAAAGCAAAGACTGTCCATCAACGTCGGTGATCTATGCGACTTTGTGGACTTTCTTTGTGGTTCTGTCATTCTTTGGGGCTGTCGCTCGGGAAAATCATTATCATCTGACCTAACTGTCCCTCGTAGCTGGCTCTTGTGGTCTGTGAACTATGATTTTCCAGAGTTCAATGAGGAGATACAGACAGATTATTATCGCATCATTCTGGCACCTATGCAGGATCTCCTGGAACAACTGCATACCAGAAACTGTGGTAAGCTACAGAAACTTATTTTCCTTCAGCGTTTCATCCTCATGATCTACCAGACCATCTCTTTTATGTGACCGCAAGAAATCATTCAAAAGTGCCATGCCGAGTTTATCATGATGCTTTCATCCTAAGAATGTAAGTCAGCTTCTCCAAATCGGCCATCGCATTATTTTCTGATATCAGTCCTCTCTCAGATTCAAGGCTCTTGGTCTACGTGAGTTTCCGACTGCTCTCTGATTTGTGTCCTTATTTTGCTATGTAGTCGGTCACAATGTCTGCGATGATTTTCTCCGTGTCAGTATTCAGAAGTTGATGCTGTCTTTGCGCCAAGAAGGTCGATTAATTTCTCCTTTTTATAATCAGTATGTGGGTCTCAGTCTTAAGAACCACCTGCATGATATATGACTTTTGCAGATGCATCGATGCCGCTGACCGCTCATGGGATGAACTTGTAGAGGTTATTCGTTCTTCTCTGCAATCCGACCCCAAGATCGAAATGATACAGCTCGTTCACCTGAGCAAGGAGGCTCTAATAAACAAGCATGCCTTACAAGGGGTTCATCAGCGTCTCTACGTCGACCTTTCAGATATTCAACAGCAGCTTTGTCCCGCTGTTCCTGCATCCACTTACTGGAAGACCACTTCATCGCAAATCGATGTTTCTGAGAGGAAGGGCCCGGATAAGGACGGCGAAGTGGAGAAAATGAAGAATCTACAAGAAGCCGAAGCTGTCGAGGAGACTTCCGGTAATGATGATGTAGTCGTTGATGCCATTCCCATGCAAGAAGCTAAAGCCGTCAAGGAGACTTCTGGTGATGATGCTGTAGCTGCCGATGCCATTTCGGTGGAAGATATGACAACCCGGAAGCCGACAGAAAGAGAGGTCGCTGCTGCATCCTTGATTCAGCGGGTATGCAGAAAGGTCCTTCGTCATCGACGAGGTGTTGCCAAGAGAGGGACGACAGGCCTTCGTGCACAATTCTATGCCTCATGCACCAAAAAGGTGACCCGGCTTGGTGCTAACCCAGGGCTATATCTTCGCTTGTTTCTGGGACCGCTGCCGCACCTTTTAGTCTGTCTCGAGAATGTTTGTACCGAGACATTCACCCAAAAAACAGGGGCGAAAAAGAGGTTTCTAGATTGCAGTCGTGACGAGATGGAAGCAGTTGAAAAGTTGTTAAAAAAGACAACGTACGTATTTACCACTTCTACCGGCGATAATTGACATGAACCTCGATTTTCAACAGCAAGGCGAACCAGGCTGCAATCAAACTACGAAAGCAGCTCGACCCAAGTTCTGCTTTCCACGAGAGTTGCAACAGCAAGGAACTCAGAAAATTAGCGGAAGAGGCTAACGATTTGATTTCTTCTCTCCCTTTCAAAAGTTCCTTGGACTTATCAGATGACCTGCACCTCGCTATCAAAGGGATTGTAACTCAACGTTCATCTACAGGTACATGTAAAAAGCCGACGCTGAATGACGATGGCTTGTAGTACTGACTTTCCCTTGTTGATCTGTAGTTTGAAATGTAGTCATACCCATGAATCATCGCTGATGCAACATATAGACATGCCGTGTAGGTAGTCCGGCCACTCGACGCAACATCGATGTGAGAGTAAAGCCATATATAACCAAGTCAGTCGAGAGAAAGAGCTACGCGATCAAGATACGATTAGTTTGGGATAACAAGTTTGAACCCAAACTCCGTTGTCGATATGCTTTTGCGACTTTCCGAGAGCGGGCCGGAACGGAAAGTTGTTGATGCGTATGTGAGCGCGTGGAAGCAGAGTTGCAGGTTGCAGCGCTGGAGGTCGTTCTGTGCTTAGGTCTCAAAGTTGTTGTGTATGATGACGGGAGTGGAGAAAAACCCGACTCTGAGGCAGATGAAGTATCGTTACTGCGTTTCAGTCATTGCACGCGTCGTCTTGTAACGAAGAGATAAAACAGTGTGCATGATTCAAAGTACGATTTGCTTCTACAGATTTCTTCTTGTGCAGGAGTCTGTCCACTAATAAAGCTTCCTTCCTTCCCTTAAGCTGCAATCAATCCAGCGAGCTTTCCTGAACTCTGCAGCGCCATCGTGTCATCGCACCCACCGATGTGCTCTTGATCTGTTCGGCATGCCAGATAAAAGGCCAGTCGGATGTAAGTACCATGTGAGACTCACTGATAAATACGTTAGGCACGGTGCCTTGACCCGTCTTTTGACGGAGATACTCCTGTATGTCGCTTCCGTCATCGCGTTCATCGAGCCTGCGGAATCCGACGGTGAGCACTTGTCATCATGAGTCCGAAAAAAAAACGGACTCAATGATGTCAATATCCACATCGGGGTACTTGTCCTTGAACAACGTCTTTGCGCGCTTGCAGTAAGGGCAGTAGGATTTCGAAAAGACGGCAATCTTGTGCGAGCTGATAGTCTCCTATGTAAGGTCATGTAAGACCCTCTACAAGTAACGGGTTGGGAACATACTTCGACAAAGTTCTTGACAGACATGATGAGTAAGAAAGAGTTGAAGTGGCGGGAAAGAACTGAGAGACGGGAGAGCATCGACACTGGCTTTAAAAGATGGGTCCGATGGTGTCATCTGATTGACGATTTCGGATTCCGATACGGACCACACAGACGCTTTGAACCTTACGGAGGGGAAATTGCCTCACCTCTGGCTGCAAATGCCTTAATTCCAGCTTCGAGCGCCACTGATAGCTGATAGATTGGATCTTGATCAGGTATGCAATCGACCTTTTCGTAATTCATGCACCAATTGGAATCCAGCGTTGGTATCCTGATGCTGTACCTTATTGCGAGAAAATGGTGATCCAACCGCTTCACGTGCACTGGCATGCGCTTCGAAAGCAATCTCCTGGATGATCGGGAACGACAGTGTGAGTTCGAATCGAAGTACAAGAGTCCGCTGATCGTCCATTATGACCTTTGGTCGTCAAGTAGTGAAGAAAGACATCCTGGAGAAGGCCGATGGCTGAATTAGATACGGCAACATGATACATGGTTTCAGCTGCGGAGCTTTCTTTAGTAGTCAGTGAGGCAGTTATCGAAACTGAATGTGCTCAAGTCGCGCTCAAAACTGAAGACCTTCGGGTCACATCGATGAAAGCCGATGGCCCATTGGAGATGTGACCCGGTGCGGCTTCTGTACATTCTAAAGAGGTCAGTGAACGGCAGCAGAACGAGGTTTGGACGCTAATAAATAGGCCGCCACTGCCATTGTAGGCATAAGTTTAGCCATGATGCCAACATCGATCCACGGACTGCATAAGTCTTGGGATTGTTAAATAAGCATTGGAGGGGCATTCCAACGGGACAGATGCGAGAATCAAGATAAACAGATGGGCTGATAGTTGCACGAACACGAATAAAGGAAGAAAGTTTGCGTCAAGGTAACATGATGGAGATACCTCGTACCCCACCTGCTTCATTGGTGAAGTGAGTTCGGTAAAGAAGCTTTGACAGGCGCAGCGCTATTCAAACGGGCTTCGTTCAATCACAAATGTACCGCCTGGAAATACTGGGGATAAGATGGAACGAAAGGCGGGAGATCTCTGGAAAAACGTTTCACGGCACGTTTTGCTTGTATTGCTGCAACATTTCTCTCCTAATATAGCGATTTGCGAGCTATCATGTAGGCAGAGTGAGGGATTAACCAAAATGCAAGTTATACAACTCACGAGTACGCCTGGCCGCTGAGGCTTCGTTATTGGGGTGTTCCCAACAACACTGAGAGCAACAGTATCCTATTTTCCTACTTTAGGGCCTTGCTCGCATTCGTTCAGCAGCTAACGTCATGATGAGACCGTGGCATTGAGAGTCGGAGGTGATGGTGGTCAATCAAGAGACGATTGATCGACCATCTCTTACGGACGCCCCTCAGGCCAATTGCTCAGATCGCTCACCTCCCTGCTGCAAGGACCTCTGAGCGTTATAACTTGTAACCATATTTCGTTCAACACCACATCTTCTATGTCCATCCTTTCTCGAGATGACCAAGTAAAAAGATACCCACCCAATCGAATTCTTCGACTGTTTCCTTTGGCTGCAGTTCCGAATTCGAAGCCACTTGGGCCAGTGCAAAGGAATCGCCTGAAGATACACCTTCAATAAAGTTGCGATCGAATCGTGTGATGTTTGTCATATGCGTTGATACTAAAGGTGCATGCCCTGCCATACTGCGGTGAAAATAGCTAACGGGGAGTAATAGATGATTTGCGTAAAAATTTACAATACCACAGCGGTTTGCGACCGTCAATATCTATCTATCTCCTTTTTGGTTTTGGGGAGCAGGTCAACAGTAGCTACTGGGACACGACAACGGAACTACTGGCAAGCTTCATCGAGTCACATTGTGCATGTGTGAGGCTGTTTCATCCACCACGACTCACCCAAGGTACTTACTACCACGTAGCAATACGATCCTTTACTTGGGTCAGTTGTGACTGCCAAGGATGGCCGTTTACCCTGTCAATCGTGATTCATGTGTAACTTACCTCCAGGGATGGTTGGCTGGTCGGACTTGCCACAGGTCGAATCATTCATGCTTACATGCCCTTTGGGTATTGTCAGATGCCACTTGACGCCATTCTATTTTGCGTTAATCCAGAGATGTGGTGAAAGTTCTATGTACCTGAAATATCTTCGCCTCGAGGCGCGAAGGCACCGGGCGCTGCCATACTCTGCTGGTTCTTTCTCAAAACATCTGTCGTCGACTTGAAAGATGAATTTCTAGAGCTTTCTAGGGCTTTCTTTTGCATCGAGTCATAGGTCTGCTGCATATTTCTCTTTAAATACGCCCTCGCTCACTTGAATTACAGAAGTTAGCATAACGGACGCCCATACCCCAGCCCTCTCAAAGAAACCATTACCGTCTGTAATCCGCAGGGCCTTTGTGTTTGATTACACCCCTGATTGCATCTTCTAACAGTCATTCTCTGACATAATATGTTGTTCAGCGACCCTCTAATGAACAATGTTTGACACGAGGATTTGCTGGACTACCTTAGCAAACTCTATCGCAAGGATAATGTTGGTATTCCCTGTTATGTACCTGCGCGTCTTCGCCATGGCTACCTGGATGCCGAAAACGTTCAGAAGTCCGAAGAGGAGATACCCAAACCTGCCTACATCAATGAGATGCTACAGAAATATTGCTCGATATCTTTTCTCAAGCCATACCTTCTGCTGTTGTCAATCCATTCAACCCTATTGCCGGCCCTTGGACACTCAGTCGAGTGTGTAAGAAATGGAATTCCATCATCACTTCCTACGCACCTTTATGGATGAACATCACCATCGATACCAGCCCTGGTGCTATAAACGTCCAGAAACCATACAGATCCCTCATCGACGTTCTCAAATATTCGCAGGACCGGCCGCTTTCCATCCATTTCGTTGAGGGAGAAGAATCCATGCCCTCCGTAACTCACATGTTGCTCTGCATCCTCATGAAGCATGCACCCCGGTGGAAAGACCTTGACTTCACCTTATCCAACTCCGAGACAGCGGCTGCATTCGATGCTGTTCGCGGACGTCTGGACTCTTAGTGGAAGAGTACAAACTCTACAGACCCGAAATTAAGAACGTCACGCCTATGTCCAATAATAATACGACTCTCTTTTCTGCGCACCCTTCAGCTGGGGATCCTCGTATCCTTCGATCCATCATCGCGCCCAAGCTGGAAGAGGTCCATGTCCAGCTGTTCAACAAAGACTTCCAGGAGGTGATTCTTCACGCCCTTCTGTTTCTAATCAAGAGATCTGGCTGCTTCTTGCGCAAGATCACCGTCGGAGATTGTATCCCAGTGGTAAATAAATTCATATCCATTCTTCAGGCATCGCCGAACCTTGAAGAGCTTGCGTTATCTTTCACCGTGTGGAATGATAGGACGGATTCCTGTCTTTTGGAGACTTTACCCTCCATTCACGTCAAAGGAGGGGAAGAGGGAGAGGGAGAAGAACAGACTTTGGTGCCCCGCTTGACAAAACTCAATATCATCGTTCAACATAAACACAAGTCACGCACGGTGCCGTCAATATCATTCCTCAGGGACCCCTTGATTAATGCAGTCGAAAATCGGTGGGATCATCAGGTAGCAGGGGTGGCTAGGCTTGTGAGCGTCGAGGTACGTGCTGCTGTTCTGGTTAAGCAGGATATGGTGGTTTCACCTGGAGCGGGGAATGTGGAGAGGTGGAGTAGATTGAAGGAGGGAGGAATGGGAATGCTTTTTCATGTGATTGGAGGTAAGGCCGACGAAGAGTGTCCACCTGCCAACTCGTGTATGATGCGTGTCGATCCGGATCCCACGCGTCCCGCGTATCTGCAGAGAGTGTATGTTTGAGGAATTTGGATGAAGTGAAAGGAAGTCTTTCTAATATTGTACTATTACTTATGTGTCTCCTTAGTGATATTTATCAAGAAATATTAAAAGGCCCTAAGACATTAACATAGATACAATGTATATTATAATAGACGCTTCAAAGTATTCATTGAACAAACTTCAATTAGACGTCGTCCCATTGTAAATAAGTTCGTTGACTGCTAGACTTATCGTCATTCCGAAGTTGTCCTGTATCGAAAGTATTAGCAAATACAAGCAACACTAATTTTTCATTTACTTACCGATCCAGTAGCCCATTCTTCCAAAACCACCAGATAAACTGTAGCATCACTAATGTTGATGCCGCCACCGAACCCGCTCCCAACACGTTGTGAAAAGTCCGGCATGGTTAGGTTGGCTGGGGCCGGGTGCGTGGGGTACGGAACAGCTACGTGAATGTATTCAGTGGAAGCTACATAAACACTGTGCTTATAGACCGACCTGGATAGTTAGGATAATCGAAACGACCGAAATAGTGTCCGCTGGACCACTCATTAGATGGGTAAAGAGAGGCGGGGGGCTTCGTGAGGAGGAAGACCGTATAGTTGTAGGTGGACATGCTGTAGTCTGCCATGGGATCATACGAGAAGGCAAAGCTCTGCCCAGGTAGGATGACCGTCCCATTGGCTGGTGAAGTGATAGTACCACCGGCTAAGATGAGAGCTGGGAAGGCAAAGAAGGAGAGAAGCAGAGGAAGGAAGTGCATTGTTCATATTGCAGACTACTGGACTTCGATGAAACGCGCCCTTATAGCCTGCCATCGGAGGAGGTATACGTGCGACGGTCAGAGCTGACTGACCAGGGCGCAGGCTTGAGCGCTCAGGCTCGCCCAGCCCCAGACATGGAGGCATGAGTCAGAACTCGGTATTGGGTAGCCTCGGATAGCCGAGAGAATGCGAAATAATCGGTAAATGGCCCATGAATGTCGGAAAGCACAAGGTCAGTGGAATTTGGGACTCTCAACGACAAGTTCGCGCCATAGTGTCACTACAGATAGTCAGTTTGAAGTAAAGGTAACACTTGACACGTCCCATCCTAACATGAGTCTCGATCTGCAGCAACTAGTATGTTGGGAAATGCGTGCTAAGCAAGGGGTGTCACGGTAATGTCTTGTTTCATGTTTCTCCATCTGAGCATTATGTGCCGTAAGCTCCATGGCCGGACTTTCAGGACCTCCTATGAGTTTCATCAAGTATTGTTGCTGCAGTGTGAATTTTGGGGGCGCAAGAGACAGAAACGACCGGGCCGGTAATCGGATGAACGATGGGCGATCTGCCATTACGCAGATAGATTATCACCTCGTGGCCTGCCCCGTAATGCTATTCACGATAAAGATGTCTTTCATGGACCGAGAGTGACGATAGCAGATATTCAGTCAAGAGGCACAGTAGCTGGTGCTGGCTCCATATCTTGAAGATTGTTTTCGGAAAAAAAAAATAATGTCGCATTATGTGAATTAGGGGTACGACAGCAAGAGATGTATTAGTCCTTGGGGCGAAGAGGATGCTTTATTCTACAAAAAAAAGAGCTTGTTTAAATATAGCATGAAAATATAGAATATACATACAGTACCGAGAAAGTCCATCCAACGAGATACGCCCCAAAATATCCCCAAACCTCCCGCTTTCCTTGACCTGCACCATGATCTTCCCCATAAGCATTTTATCTGACAGTCCCTCTCATAGTTCAAACGCCTCACCATCCCTCCGATGGTACACCTCCTTTCCATCGGACGGGCGCACGTTGATACACGCCTTCACGGTCTCCACATACCCAGGGTGGTACTCTAGCTGCGCCAAAAGTACCGACTCGGGGGATCAGCAGCCATGATCAGGTACGCCAACGCGTCAAGGCGAGTGCCAAGAATGATGTTGAACTGTCTGTCCACCAGAAGCCTGAAACGAACCAACCCACGTCAGATCACTTTGGCCCATTCAGTTTGGCGGCGACATGAAGAGATCGTAACCCCATGGTAGAGAAAGAGGCGTGGGAAGTTCTAATAGTCACTCTTTTCTCCGACTTCCATTACAACTACCCCGAAACACCTCTGCTCCTGCCAGCAACATAGTCATGGACATTCTGCAATAAGACACTGTCAGCTAACACAAGTAACCCGGCTCAGGATAGACTATAGGTGCCTTAGTTGCTCACCTGACAGCTTGCATACATAAGATATGGACTGCCGTTTTTCTCCTGAGAGTATATGGGGCTTCACGGACGAATGCATTGTGGTTTCTCTGCCGCGTGTCTTCACTTGCTTGCAAAACTAGCGAGGTCCACAGATGGAGGAAGATTTCTTTGTCATTCACTGCCAATAATGATTTTGATCACCAGCTATCCTCTCCCCCTGGCCATAGCCTCAAATGCCTTCTTTACTGCATCGACATTGAACGGCACACGGTGTGTTACGAGATCCATTATTGGAGGTATTGAGTCTAAACAAAGCATTAGCTTCATCGCATCGCGAATACCGCAATGCTTACTGCTAGCAAGTAACTCGAGTGCTTCTTTGTATGTGTCTGCATATCGGAAGTTCCCTATTATATCGACCTCTCTGCGTGGCCGCATTATTTATGGATATCAAAGCGTTAGACATGCCCATTCCAATGAGAAAGACCTTTACCCCGCTGTTTGCATTCTGATTGGCATTAGCAAGAATTCGAGAAACAAAAAAGAAGAGGTACCCACAAAGACAGCCATTTGAATGCGCGGTTCTGCACCAGTACTGATTCATATACGATGTCATATCCTCCGCCAAATACCTCCGCTTGGGCTGCGGCCGGAGACCAGAGTCGTCGACTTTGTCCGATATTTTAAGAAGGGAGTGATATGGCAACAAATCAGGTGTGTAAAGGAAGCAGCGATGTATTTACAACCAAGTATGTATATCGGACTCTGTTGAAGTAATGATCGGCTAAGCCGTATACGAGAGAAAGAGGACTTGTCAGAGGGGCCGCTATCTTTTTGTTGTCAAAATGGCGTTCATGACTATATGTGGCATAAGTTTTACGCGGTCCGGCGATCCTGTTCCTGTGATAATAACGGTCAGTGGCCTGATAATTGTGTGATAACACAGAGCTATGGTTTCGTTATTTTCGCTTATCCGAGTGACTATCGAAACTATACGGGGGATTGTTTCTTCGTACCGGCGTGTCTCGAAACGGATAAGCCAGTCTCCTGGACTTCCGGTGTCTAATCCCACGATTCCTTTCTGGTCGATCCCAGCGTCGCCCATACAAAAGGAAGGCTCGATTGCAGCTCTGCCAGAAAGTGCGGATGTTGTGATTATCGGGTCTGGGATAACAGGTACAGCATTTGCGCGTACGCTGCTTAATGGGGACAGGTCATTGGAGGTTGTGATGCTGGAAGCGAGGGATGCGTGCTCTGGGGCCACAGCGCGGAATGGGGGACATATCACGCCACCGCTATACCATGACTATCTTGATTTGAAGAAGAAGCATGGTGCCGAGGCAGCGAAGCAGATTATCGAGTTTCGACTGTCGCATCTGGATGAGCTGATTAGGGTTGCAGAGGAAGAGGGTTTGACGAAAGAGAGCCAGTGTCGCAAGGTGGAGACGTACGATGTGTTTTTTGATAAAGAGGTGTTTGAGGGAGCAAAGGAGAAGCTAGGGCGCTACTTGGAGGAGCTGTCGAGTGAGAAGGGTGGCTGGGATACGGTGGAGGGCTCGGCGGGGATGCAACTCGCAGATGGGGTGTGTGGAGTCATCTCCACGACGGGTGGGGCCATCCATCCATATCGATTCGTCACCGGCATTCTCTCGCGCCTCCTCAAGGCGTACCCATCCTTTCGGCTGTACACCCACACTCCGTGTCTCTCCATCGACGCCAACATCGTCCACACTCCCCGCGGCGACATCCGCACCGAGCACATCGTCCACGCTACAAATGGATGGTCATCCCACCTCCTCGCGCCGATGCGGGAAAAGATCGTTCCATTACGAGGCCATATGACTGCACAGCGCGCAGGAACAGGTTTGGACGGCGGGTGGCTCGGTACGCGGTCGTTTGTGCTGTACCCAGGCGCGTCCGAGGATCGATGGGACTACCTCACTCAGCAGCCGCCTGATCCCAGGGCGAGACTCGACGAGAAACCCCAGGCAGAGTTTATGTTTGGCGGTGGTGTCGAGATGGGCTCTCCGTCCTTCTTTGACGCCGTCGGGTGTGCTGACGACAGCCAAGTCGAGTTTCGTGTATCAGCCTATCTTGGCGGGGCACTGGCAGCGTATTTCGGGAAATGGTGGGGAGGCGAGTCTGCAGACGTGGATGACGACGACCACTTTGAGAAGGGACGCGTGAAGAAGGTGTGGTCCGGCATTTTGGGCATCTCTGCGGATGGCCTGCCATGGGTCGGGGGCCTTCCTTCAAAGGTGTCGGGCAGGGGGGAGGGAGGTGCAGAGTGGATTGCGGCAGGCTATTCCGGAGAGGGCATGGTCCACGCTTGGATGAGTGGAAAGGCATTGGCGTACATCATTCTTGGCAAAGACCCTCATTGGCTTCCTGCCCCGTTTCTTGTCACAGAGAAAAGGTGGAAAAAGGCAGATATATCATCTTGGCTATAGTGATCCTTCATCTTGTAGATATGAACCTTCAATCAAACAGGTTAATCCTACGATACCCTCCCTCTCACCATCATCACTATGTGGATTCAGCGATGATTTATGGGTGTGTAAATCAAAGGGGAATTTCATATTCCAGACTACAGATTGATAAGACAAGAATCGGTAATAGTAATCATCGCCGAATCTTGAGCGTCGGCTCTTTGCGTGCACCTGTGGATGAACGTGCGGTTGAAATCCCTTTGATAGCGAGGTGCAGGTCATCCGATAAGTTTGACGAGGTTTTAAAAGAGAGAGAAGAAACCAGAACCTTAACCTCTTCCACTAGTTGCTCGAGTTCCTTGCCGTCACAACGCTCATGGAAAGCAGAACTTGGGCTGAGCTGCTTTTGTAATATGACTGCAGCCTTGCTCGCCTTGCTGTTGAAAATGTCGATCGTGTCAGTTATCGCCCGTAGAAGTGGTAATGCGTACTTGATCTGCATCAACAAGCCATCAAGTGCATCAAGCTCGTCAAGACTGCAATCTAGAAACCTCTTTTTCGTCTTTTGTTTTTGGTTTAACGAATCGATACGAACTATCTCGAGACAGGCTAAAATGTGCGGGAGTGGACCCAGAAAGAAGCGAAGATATAGTCCAGGGTTATCACCAAGCCGAGGTACTTCTTTAGTGCATGAGGCATATATTTGCGCGCGAAGGCCTGCCATCCCACTCTTGGCAATGCCTCGTCGATGACGAAGGACTTTCCTGTATACCCGTTGAATCAAGGATGCAGCAGCTGTCTCTTCAGTTGATGGCTCCAGTCGTGGCATATCTTGTATTGGAATGGCAACAATAGTGTCGTCAATTTCATCGACGGAATCTTCTTCGTCACGAACACTCTCTGCATACAAAGGGCATTCCATCTCATCTGCTTGGTCGTCCAATGCCAACTGCGTGGAAACCTCAATCAGCGATTCGGACTGGCTGTATACTGACGAATTGGGATCAAGCAGCTCTTGGATTTCCATCAGATTGTCGTAGACAACCTGACGAACTCCTATCAAGGCGCAATCCCTTGCCGGAACCTGGCTCTTATGAACAAGGTGAATCATCTCGTCCATAGTATCGTATTGCAGCGAAAGGCGTATAGCCTTTGCAAGTTCGGCCCACGAGTCGCTTGCAGCATCAACGTATCTGTAAAGGCCCTATAAGATTACAACTGCCTGTCCGACTTGTTATCACGCACCGACTATAGAAAGAAGGTAACAAGCATCCTTCACGGCGCAGGGACAACAGCAACTTCCGGATGTTATTCCTTAAAATATCGCTACGGATATTGTAGCCCACTAAGTGAACAGTCAACACGTTTCATGAGTTATAAGGAGACACTAACGTAGCCCAATGGCCTTGCATCTAGTATAATACTATCATGAGTACAAAGTGCGACAATGGATACAGCATTGGACTTACATTCTGGTCATATAAACATCACGAATTACTGCTGGCACATTTGAAAGATTTCTGGTAGGTCCATACAAAAGATATTCTGATGCATTGTGGGTCCTATGAGAATGAGGAAGAAAATTCAAGCAGAGCACCTACCAGAACCATTGCCGTCGTACAACTGCTCTAAAAGATCCCGCATAGGCGTCAAAAGCAAGTGAAATGTGTTCGTTTGTATCTCCGGGTTTAAGTACAGCGAGTCATGCTTGATGAAACGTAGAAGCCAGCTGCGAGGGACTGTTACGTCGTGCATCACTGTCATTCCAGGGCGACGACCACAAAGTATGACAGAGCTGCAAAGAAAGTCTACGAGGTCACATAGAACGCCTACGTTAATAGGTAATTGTCGCTCGATAACATGCCTAGGAAAAGAAATCAAAACATAAATATAGATGGATCAAGAAGAGGACTTGCTCGACGAATGCAAAACCGGCAGCGAGGGACCATGTATGCGTCCCCGACATCGCACCCAGAAGCTCCGGTAGGATGGGAGAACCACCTCGACGAATGTACACAAGTGGAGGGCGTGTGCTGAAATATGCCGCATTTCTAAGATAATCTGCTTGACTTCGGTCAAACATGAAGGTCAAAGTGGTTGCTCGCATCACGTCCGTGAGGAAGGTTGTCTGGGGTGTATACACTTGGCTATAAACAAGCGTTCGCACCCAATCTTTCATAACGTTCAATGCTTTCGCAGCCTCGGGAATTGTAGAAAGTGCGAGATCGGAAATAGAACCAAAGACATGATGGGGTGGATAAAGAGCCTCGTAAAGACGGTTGAGCCAAAACCTATACGGGAATAAACATTCCGAAACTAGAAAACTGGAATGACAACGTACTTGGTTCCTCTGTGTTCCACATCTGCATGAGCATTCTCTCTGAGCGACTGCAAGATCAAGATTTGTTGTAGGTGCAGACGAACGCGCATATTATAGTAACCGGGAGTTATCTCCAAAGGTGATACATGAGCTTCCGGGCATTTAGGCCGTCTACAAAACCCAGATACGGCAAAAACGAGGCAAGGCATGAACGCTTTGCTTCTCGCACATTCGTCATTTTCGGTAGCGGTCCTTTGCTTCAGACGACTTCTCAGAGCATCTTGAAATAGCTCACGTAGTTCAGGTACTGACAGCCTGAGGTTCAAGTCGGAATCCCTAATCACGTTCCTCGGTCGAAGATCGACTGAACGGTATAGCCACGTATTTTGGGGCACAAGGAACTCGTTCTCTGCTATCCGCCGAAAACCGAATAATGTCGCAGTCGCTACATCTCCACAAGGATCCGTTCGGAAGGCTGTAGCGGAAAGGAGGTCCACATAGGTATAAAACATGCTGAGTTCTTCGATTGCGTCAACAAGTGCCAAGTCTTGAATTCGAGGTGCCCGAGAAAAATATTGATCTAGACACAGCAAGGTCGCAGAACTATGGCCAACTTTGTGGAATTCCAATGCCAGCTCACGCAGTCGAGACACGTCATCCTGCATAATGGCGGTAAACATGAACAGCTGAAAGAGTACCTCTGTCAGTTGTGATGAATAGGACATGCAATCGGAACTTACTTCAGCGGCTTCAGTTTTTCCCATCAAAGCTGTATCAAACCGCGAAGCAAACCGCATCAGCCGCGACACTCCGAGATCTGAGCATATAGCACGAGAGTCCGCACCAAAAGAAATCCTATGCCAAAGTTCTTCGAGGATACATTCTTGAGCCCGACGCAAAGCACTTTTGTTTTCTGCTTCGCGAAGAAAGAGGTCAATAGCTTCTTCTCTGCGACCCTCAAAATAATGAAGTTCAGCAGCTTCACTACATCGTCCCATTGTTTCAAGTAAATCTGCAAGAGCGATATCAAGATCTCTTTCTTCCAGATACTCCAATTCTTCTTCGGGCGAGTCAAATAACTCGTGGGCCTTTCTGTTGAGGAAATTGAGAATGACCAGTATTTTACACCCTAAGAAAGAACTTACTTCATTTGGCGGTTAGAGAAGTATGTCAGTCTGGCGAGTTCGATGACATTTTTGACAACTTTTGACGACATCTCGTCTCCATGGGCTTTCACAATCGCCACGGCCTCGTCAAATTTGCCGAGATCTCTATACAGCTCCGTAGAATGGTTGTACTCTTGAGCCTGGAAAAACATTTTTGCAGCTCGACACTTTTGGTCAGCTTGTTCAAAACATTCGCCACTGATCCTGAAGTACATCAAAGAAGCCTTTGAGCTCGATGTGATGGTAGCGCATTCGGAGAACGAGATGGCAGCTTCTGAAAAGCAAGAATTCCGTTCAAGCATCTTTGGTTTCGACGTACCAATGACTTTACGGGCCTTCACCCGCAAATCATAGGCACCTGCAATGGATGCTAGGATAGGAAGGTTGGCCCTGATATAGCAGTGCTTGGCGTCGGAGAATTGCTTCCGGTAGAAAAGTTCACGTCCCCTTGAAGCCCATTTTTCTGATGTCGATGAGGATGCAAGTTGAGAGGTATAAGATCCCAGAGTGTAATTTTGGATCAAATCTTTCCTCATCCAAAAGATCTTGATTATTGGGGATAAGAACAGTGCAGCTGCGGTCTGGACAGAAGAATAACAACCTACCCTCATGGGTTCTCCCGTCTCAGAACCATCGACAATCCAGATGTTTTCACGGGCCCTAGTTATCGCGACGTACAGGAATTTTAGCTGAAGAGTGTTATTACTTTGGTCTCCAATCCAAGAAACAGAGTAATTCATGCTGACCTCATCACAAATGCTGGCGTGGCGAATGCTATCAAATCGTGGAGGCAGGTTCTTCGGATCCTCATTAGTCTCTTCGATGGCATTCAATACAACCCGCCATTGTGCGGGACCAGCGAGTGAGTCAGCAAAGAAGTCGTAAAGCAGGACCTGAAGGGACATAACATAACAGTGAGAAAATCTTCTTGTAGCATAGCATTTTGACCCACATCATTGAATTCAAGCCCTTTACTTTCGTATATAGTGCTATAAAATTAGCCATCAGTAGTTTGATAACATAACAACCGAAGGAACCCGAACAGCACGAGACCGACTTCACCGACTTGTTGTCGAAATCTCTCTCTTGCCGTTTCATTTCTAACAATGATGCCTGCATGTGCCAGAAACCGGAAGTTAGCTGACTTCAATGCAGATAACAGGGGACTAACATTGCTGGGCACCGAACTCGATATATTTGCCAACATCACCAAGGATGAACTGCGCCAATTGGGTGGAATCTTCAGTCTTAAAAAAGACAGGTTTGGTTCCATCTACACTGCTTATTTCTGGAGAAAGGCGATCAATGGAATCCTTCCAAAAAACTGTGATAAGGTCGATGACAGAATGCGCAAAATTAACAATGCCTGCATGGGTCCTATAATTCACGGCCAGTTGAAATGTTTCTGGTGGCCCCTTGGTTTTGCCAGCTCCAAGTCCCCGCTTCCTCTGGTACTGATCCTACTCGTCTAATTAGACCTGCATAGAAGAAATATTCCTAGTCAATCACACCTCAATTTCCCACTGAAATGCCTTCAAACCATTGAAACGGAAAGCACTTCCAACGGAGATGGTCTGCGCAGTGTCGCCTGCCCAGAAGAGACCATCCGCATTGCTACATAGTGCTCTCAAGACTAAATGACAAGTTGGTCAGCGAACATATGAGAAGATAAGAGAAGATAATTACCCATAGTGTCAATGAGCATGTTATCCTGTACTTCGTCGACATATCTGTAATGATATCGATAACAGACGAAGAGTACGAGTAGAGGACTCACAAATGGTCGAGTCCTTGTCCAGGGATGCCTTGCTCCGTAAAATACTTCAAGATATTATGAGTCCTACATACAGATTATCTTCCACTCGTCACGGTGGAACTTTGATGAAGACCTTACCGGTCTGCAGTGTCGTAATCTCCCCGAACTTTCTTCTTGTGCATATACAGCTCGAAGAGCTTGTACACTTCACCCCTCCGGTCAGCAAATGTAGATTGCTGGCGTTTACTGAGATCAAGGTAAGTGGCTCTGCTAAGATGCCGCTTCTCTTCACTCAGTGTCTCCTTCGAGCCTTTGATGACGCCTGTTCAGGGATTCAGGTTAGACCATTTGATGCAAGAGATGAATATGTTACCTATAATTTGACTGAATACCAAGGTGGGATCTGAAATGAACACTGTTTTAATGCCAACATGTAAACAAAAGAGAGAAGAAACCTAATCCTTTGACCAATGGCTCAGGAAAATAAGACCAGTAGTATTCGAAAAATGACTCGAGAGTGATGACACTCATGTGAGACTTGTTGCGTTCGATGCTAGTAGACGTTTGAGCGCCCATGTCTGCTTCCAACATCTCGCAAAGCTATGATCGGAAGAAATGAGAAGCATCAACAAAAAAGAGCTGCTGCTTACACCATCAAACGTGATAAATAACGGGAAATGCCTCTCCTCGAGTTCACTGTACTTGGCTGGTAAATCAGTCCGCCAATCGACGATGTCATCGATATCAATTAGCCCTATATCATCTTGGTACTGAGCTCTCGATAGGTTCATGAGGTCAGCGGACGGCCGTGATGCTATTGCTAAGGAACTGGCCAGGTTCGAAAAATCCTCTTGCACTTTCTTTGCAAGCATTCTAGACTTGGTTACAAAGACCTGACGAGGGCGAGGCAAACCCGATTCCATGAGTCGAAACGTCTGCTCGATGAGCAACATCTTGAATAAAATGGTAGTGGTTTTCCTATGTCAAATAGGTGTGAGTAAGAGAATGAAATCGGCGAAGTGCTCGTGCATACCCTGTGCCACTGCGGCCTATAACGTAGCAGGACTTTGGATGTTCTATAATTCGTGTCTCTTGCATGCTGTGAATACATGCTGTCAGAAAATCAACAGGGAGAGCCAAACATAGTGGCGCACGAAACCGTATGAGGAAAGATCACATTCACATCCGCTAGGATGGCTACCAAAACAGATCAAGACCAACTTTTCGGACAGCAGTCCCGATACGTACTATTCAAAAATGGCTATACATCTTCATAGTTAAATCGTTATTCCCTCGTTACCACGAGAACGTACCTGCGAGAATGTGACGTATTTCTCAAATCTGTAGGAGATTCAATGAACAGGAATCAGGTCCTCTCTATATGGCTTACAGGAGTCTTGAATGGACCTGAGTATAATGGTCAGTATTTGGTTAAGAGGGAAAAAAAGATGTCAAATCAACCTCAACCGTTTCATCAGGACGTAAATCCGGTATGCCTTCAATCTCTGAAGGCAACACTTCAGGTAGTGGGGGGAAGAACGCCGGTATAAAAATGTTCTTCGATGCTTGAGAATCTGCGGGCATCCTAACTGCGCATCTGTATCATCACGTTTAGCCTACAGGCATTCAATAGTTACCATGACAAAAAGTTACCTTTTTCGGTATTCCTCTCCCTTTTTCCTAAGCTGACTACTGATAGAACTCCACAGACGATTGTCAATTTGAGCATGGGTATATATACCGAAAATTTTCAGAGCTTCAAGACCCGTAAGGAAAAACCAAATAGATATAAACATTAACTTACCTTGTTGCTCTCTCTGCCAATGAATCAACGTAATTTAGTAACTTGCATTACAACCTTATCCTCCGAACTTACCTTTTCGTCACCCGGGATTGTGTCAATTTGATACTGCAAGGTGGCGTCAGCGATGTCCGGGATAAGAAATAGGTGTCCCACGATGAGTCTTAGATTACAAGTTACTTTAGCCATGAAGATAGGGACTTCAGTCGCTCTTCCGCTCAAACGCTTCTGATTGTTGACAGTGAAGTGACCACAGGAGAGCTCCCTACAATATATCCCGATAAGCACACTTAATATATGATACCATGTGAGGTGACACGTACTTGATCTTCTTCACGGTGATGTTAAACGTGTAAAGATCTTTCTTGTGCGTTCTCCGCAAAAAATTGTCAGCGTTCGTAGATATGATGACCGTCCATTTCCCAAAACCGTCAGTAGTGTCAAAGTATAATGCCCTTCGTCAATATCAATGTGATGTCATTTTACGAAAGGACATGAAAACATACGACTTCATCGGCTGAACGATCGGATATGCGGAGGGCGGCTCGACCACGGGCCCCGGAGCAATCCTCTCCTCCTCAGAAACGATACAATGCTCCTTGAGAGATACATATATCTCAGGACGACGGAGCAGCTCTAAATAGAACTGGGTACGTATCAGCTATCAATGAGGAACATACCAATAGAGCAGCACTTACCTTGAGTGTGTCCTTCTGACTTTGCAAAACATGATCCATGGAGACAGATGTCTCACTGGAAGTTTCAGGGATGTCGATCTTCAAAATATCGAAATCCTTTTTGACAAAAGCGAAAGGACCGTCTTCCTTCGTTTGCTGAAACTTGCTCATGTGAGCCTTTCCCTCGTAATGTTCTGATCCGATGCGCCCAAGGAAGGAGACAAGAGATTTCAAAACTTTGGGCGCGATCTGAGCTATTTCATGGTATCGGGCACACGGTTCTTTTTCTTTGATCAAAGAGGAGGAAATGAGCTCTGTCGATATGCGAGATATAATGTTGTAGTGGACCGTCGCATCGTAATTCGCAGGCTCGGAAGGAAAGGACTCCAGCAGCCACGAAATCAACGGTGTGGTCTCACTCAAAGCTGTGAAGATATAAGAGCCTGATAGACCATCAGATACCTCAACGATGTCAACTTACATGACAAGACCAATAGAAGAACGCGAGGGCTCTCATTGTCGAGTAGGTCTTGAAAAACATGCTTGAAATTATGCTTTGTGAGAATGCCTTTCAGCTCCTCTAATGCAGAATCAAGCAGATGAGCCGAGGCGAACTTTTCAGGGCTGAAAAGGTCGCTGCGATATCTCTGCTTGGGAGACATGGTTGCATCATGGTCATGCCGCTTTCTGGTTTATAAAGGCATGGAAACATGCTTCATGAAAAACAATGCCAAATTCAGACCCCAAGGAAAGCTTCGAAAGGCAAAAAATCAATCATTCACAGAAGCTACCTAAGCGCCTAGATAACCTTGAGACGCGGAAAAGCTCCCAGCTCTGCATGGTGTGGTCGCGACGTGTCTGATGGTTTCTGTGTAGTGTCTCCGTAAAAGTGGGCTACTTGGCCTGCCCGACAGGTGAAAGATAGGAACGAATCGAAAGAAGCTGATTCTCAGGCTAGTGACCGGAGCGTGAACAAGTTGAAGTTGTGAAGGGTCAAGGTATGTAAATCAACGAATTGCCTAATCAGGAGAGCCATCCAGACTGGACTCCTGCCACTTGCTGTTAGATGGAACGCGACCGGTTATAAGTCTAACTTGCTATCGGTTCATACGTTCCCAGAGAACTCAAGTTAGATCCACCGTGAGCAACTTCGAATGTGGGGAGCGTATATATTTATAAACATACTAGAATAAAATGATCAGTCAACCGACACCAAAATCATTGAGATGCCTGAACATCCTTCGCGGTTCCCAGCCTCGCGTCCGATTTATCACCAAAAGATGCTATTTGCACCCCCAAGATCCTTCACTCGCTAAAAGTTTTCCCTCTGTATCGTTCGTCTAACGTGGCAACAGACTATCTGTGTAGCTCTGGCAATATCCTGCTTCTTATTAACGATGAAGCTCGACGCATCGTTGCATTTGGGACAAGCACTGCTTAGACCCATGTACGAGCGTGTTTGGCGAAGAGACATGCACTTCTGATGTATCCCTCCTTCATCTTTGTCACGCCGCTTTTCATCCACGAATATTACCCAAAAAAACAGTCCAGAAGCTGGGATCTGTTGACCTGAAAGGAGGATAGTTGCGCATCTGTGTCGATCAAGATGGAATGGCACATACAGCGACATACTTAGGTCAGAATCCAGGAGCAGTCCGACTCCATCCTCAATATTCCATCAGATTTATTCCCTTCTTTAACCGCCATTTCCATCGACATCGGCACGTATCTCGCATCGTCTGTGGGGCATTGATGCAGGGAGCTCGGTCTTTCCAGAGGCATACAACTGTGCCTGAGCCATTTCGATGTGGAAGCCATCCGTACACTGGGCTGTTCATGCGTTTGGCTATTCGGTTCCCGTTTGGTGTTACCTAGATGGACAAGGTCATCGCCATTGGACACTGCATGAAACCGAGTTGGTATACCGGGATTAAACAAGGACCCATATAGTAACCCACCTTGCTGAGATATTGTCTGTCGAGATAAAGAGCCGTACTTCTACGTGCGTACGAATCCCAGCTGGGGCTTACCGCATACACCTCTATTTGGAAGAGTACTACACGTATGTGCCTCCACGACATTCATCCGTCATAAATCTAACATTGTAATCTTCTAGCGTCGCAGTTAATTCAGCATAAACAATTCGATGTGGTAGAAACAGTGTCTTCCCTCGACTCCGTTTTCGTCCCCGAGCCATCCCAAAGCTCACTACACAACCAATATCACGTTAAATTTGAAACGTGATCACACTTTCATTGGACCCAGCGACGGATACCGCGTGCTGGCAGACGATCAAGGAGGATTCGATGGCGTACCGAAAGACACACTCTCGCCAATATTCCACTTTTCTTCCAGTTTCCCGTTTTTCCATCCTTTATTTCCTCTACTCGGCTTGTCACCACAACTTAGGACATGCCGATAACTTGCACACTCATTGGACAATCTTAGCTACATCACACTTGGATCGGGTTGTTTTTCCTTTCGACTAACTTGATTATGCGTGGGTTTACCGTCGTATCGTGGTTGAAAAAGGACGCTTCCTTTGACCTTTGCTTTTCCTACGTTGCTGTTCGACACATTCTGGGTGCTCCCATCCCGCATCTGCTGTTTGCCATGCTGTATCGTCCTCAGAGTTGAAGCATTCGAGTTTGCACTGCTTAGATGGGATCTCTTTGGCCCTTCCTTTCATGAAACGACCCGAACTTTCGAACGTCTTGTGTTGGTATTTACGACATGAGTCGCGTCTCATGAATTCTTGAAGTTGGACGGTAGAACTCGTGATTCCATGAACGAGACACTCGCTCCCCTGCGGCATTGTTTACGCACGTCGATTCCTGGATATCTGCATTGTTAGAATCTATTCTGAGTTCCACCTTGGTTCTGGTCAGCACTTGAGCTACGATATGAGCGCACCGAGCAACTGCTTCGCGGCTCCATCTCTTCAAACAAGTGAATGTATATTGCTCGTCGTACATTTGGTGCATTCATTACATTGGTTTCACTTTAGTTCTGTCGCTAATCGTCAACGGTTAGCATAGATTTGCGCACTATTCTTCCATAAACCATCACTAGTTTGTACCGAGGTACTCAACGTAGGCATTATTCCGTGTAGTGAAGCCACTTATTTCTACTAATTATTATCGAGCTGACGCCTCTCAAGTACTCGCGATGTTGGCCATCCTCTCAAGCGCAACATTTCAAGTATGGCTGACAGCCCTGCCAGTGGGTCCTCATTATCGTCACCCAACGCCAAGACGCTTACAGGAACACGCTGATTGTCTGATAATGGCTTGGCTATGAACTCAGTCGCGACGGATGGACGACGTCTATACTTGTATCAGTAATGGCTTAACGGGTGTGATTTTGTCAAACGAGAACTACATATTTTAAACTACAGATTAATGAAAGAAGGATCAGTATTACAAGTCTGCGTCATTGAGCATCGGCTTTTTGCGTGCACCTGTGAATGAAGGTTGAGTTACGATCCCTTTGATAGCAAGGTGCAGGTCATCCGATAAGTCTGTAGAGATTTTAAAGGGGAGAGAAGAAATCAAATCGTTAGCCTCTTCCACTAGTTTCCTGAGTTCCTTGCTGTTGCAACGCTCGTGGAACGCAGAACTTGGCTTGAGTTGCTCCTGTAATTTGATTGCAGCCTTGTTCACCTTGCTGTTGAAAATCGAGAATCGTATCAGTTGTGCCAGTGAAGTGGCAAGTAATACGCACTTTGTCTGTGTTAACAAGTCATCAAGGTTGGCGATCTCATCAGGACCATGTTCAAGTTCTTTATTATTAAGCCTCTTTTTCGTCTTCGTCTTGTGGTTGAGTGTATCAATACGAATGGTCTCGAGACAGACTAAGATGTGCGGCAGCGGACCAAGAAACAGGTAAAGGTACAGCCCTGGGTTATCACCAAGCCGAGATACTGCTTCGGTGCATGAAGCATATATTTGCGCGTGAAGGCCTGCTGTCCCTCTCTTGGCAACGCCTCGTCGATGACGAAGGACATTCCTGTATACCCGCTGAATCAAGGATGCAGCTACAATATCTCTTTCTGTGGGATTTGGGGTTGCCGTATCGTGTGCTGGAATGGCATCGACGGCTACAGCATCGTCATCGGAAGTGTCCTCGATGACTTCAGCTTCTTGCACATCCTCCGCATCCTCGCTGTCACTGTCGTTGTCGCCATCCGGCTCTTCCCGCTCAGAAACCTCAGTAGGCGATGAGATGGTCTGAGTGGATGCAGGAGCAATAAGACCAAGCTGTGATCGGATGTCCGTGAAATTGTTGTAGACAATCGGACGAACTCCCGGCGAGGTGTGAACTGTCACTGGAGCCCTGCTCTGGTGAATGAGCTGTATCATCTCGTCCATGGTATTGTATTCAAGCAGGCGGATAACCTTTGAAAGTTCATACCATGAATGACTGGCGGCATCAATGTATCTGCAAAAGTCTTGTATCAGGTGGTCCTTAAACTGAGATATACGTACTGAACGTAGAGAGGAGAAGATAAGCGACCCTCTTGTCGCAAAGATAATATCATCTTCCGAATATCGTCACGGAGGAAGTCATTGCGGATGTTGTAGCCCACTAGGTAGTAAAATAAGTAAGGGAATAAATTACAGGGTAAGCGAATACTGACATAGACCAACAGTTTGGATTCTGATGGAGAACTGACATCAGAGAAAGCAATGACCCACTTGATAGCTGACTTACATCCTTGCGATAAAGACATGACGAACCTGGTATGGCACGTTTGAAAGATTTCTACCAATGCCATACAAGAGATGTTCCGCTATATTGGGAGAATGAGAACCTGAAGGGAAAAAAAAATTCCGAAGCTTACCAGCGTCTTGACCGATATTCAGTTGTTCCAGAAGAGCCCATATAGGGGTTAGAAGGATGCCATAAAACCGCGTCTGTATCGCTCCGTTGAAGTACGGCAAATCATAGTTCATAAAGCGCAAGAGCCAGCTACGAGGGACAGTTATGTTGTGTGGTAATCGCATTCCCGAGCGACTACCACAAAAAATGACAGAACCGCAAAGAAAATCCAGAAAATCACACAGATCACCTATGTTAATGGGCAATCTTTGCTCTACAACATGCCTGGAAAGGTCAACCTAGAGTACACATCGATAGGATCCAGACTTACTCAACAAATCGAAAACCAGCAGTAAGAGACCATGCTCGATCTCCTGACATCGAGCTTAGAAGGTCATGAAGAATAAGGCCATCGCCTCGGCGAATATACACGGATGGAGGACGTATGTTGTGATATGCTGCATTTCTGAGATAATACGCTTGACTTCTGTCAAACGTGAGGGCCAAGGTAGCTGTCCGCATCACGTCCATGAGGAAGGTCGTCTGGGGATGATATGTCTGGCCGTAAACAAGTGTTCGTACCCAATATTTCACAATTTTCAATGCTTTTGGAGCTTCTGGAATAGTAGAAAGTGCAAGATGGGAAATGGAACCGAACATATGGTGGGGAGGATAAAGAGCCTCATAAAGACGGTTGAGCCAGAACCTATAGGGAAATAAACATTGCGAAACTAGAGAGCTGGAATGACAACGTACTTGGTTCCTCTGTGTTCCACATCTGCATGAGCATTCTCTCTGAGCGACTGCAAGATCAATATTTGTTGTAGGTGTAGGCGGATGCGCATATTATAGTAACCAGGACCTATCTCCGAAGGTGATACATGAGCTTCCGGGCATTCAGGCCGTCTACAAAACACAGATACAGCAAAAACAAGGCAAGGCCTGAACGCTTTGCTTCTCGCACATTCGTCATTTTCAGCAGCAGTCCTTTCCCTGAGACGACTTCTCAGGGCATCTTGGAATATCCCACGTAGTTCAAGTACTGACAGCCTGAGATTCGAGTCTGAATCCCTAATCAGGTTCCTCGGTCGAAGTTCGAGAAGCACTGAGTGTAGCCACGTATTTTGGGGCACAAGAAACTCGTTCTCTGCTATCCGCCGAAAACCGAATAATGCCGCAGTCGCTGCATTTCCACAAGGGTCCGTTCGGAAGGCTGTAGCGGAAAGGAGGTCCACATAGGTATAAAACATGCTGAGTTCTTTGACTGCATCAACAAGAGCCATATTTTGAATTTGAATGGCCTGAGAAAAATATTGATCTAGGCATAGCAAGGCTGCGGAAGTATGGCCCATCTTGTGAAATTTCAACCCCAGTTCATGCAGCTGGGATGTCTGACCATGTGTAATGGCCTTAAACATGGACAGCTAAAAACGCATGGGTATAAGCTGTAACAAGTAAAAAGTGAGATCGACACTTACTTCATCAGCTTTAGTCCGCTCCATGAAAGCCACATCAAGCCATGAAGCAAACCCCATAAGCCGCAAGACACTGGGATTAGATCGTATAATGTTATGATCAACACCAAAAGATATCTTGTGCCAAAGCTCTTCAAGAATGCATTCTTGAGCTCGACGCAAAGCATATTTGTTTTTGACTTGACGGAGGAAAAGCTCAATAGCCTCTTCTTTGCGACCCTCAGACTAGTGCAACTCAGCAGCTTCGCTAAGTCGTCCTTCTGTCTCCAACAAGTCCGCAAGAGCGATATCGAGATCCCTATCTTTCAGATACTCCACTTCTTCTTCAACCGAGCAAAATAGTTCTTGGGCTTTTCTGTTTAGGAAAGTGAGAATGGTTGGTCGGCATGCCTCAAAAAGACTTACTTCATCTGACGGTCACCAGAAAAGTATGCTAGTCTCGCAAGCTTGATGACGCTTTCAACAACATTTGATGGCATTTCATCTTCATGAGCTTTGACGATGGCCACTGCATCATCAAATTTGCCAATATCTCTATACAGCTCTGCAGCACGGGTGTACTCCTGAGCCAGTAGAAACTTTTCAGCGGCCCGATCCTTCTTATCAGCTTGTTCGAAGCATTCGCCACTAATCCTTAAGTATGTCAAGGAATCCCTTGGGTTTGAAGTGAAGTTAGCACATTCCGAGAACGACTTGGCTGCTTCAGCGAAACAAGAACGTCGTTCGAGCACTTTTTGTCTCGATGTACCAACGACATTACGAGCCTTCATCCGTAAATCATAGGCATCTGCGATAGATGCTAGGAGAGGAAGATTGGCCTTCCTATAGCAGTGCTTGGCCTGAGAGAAGTGCTTCGCATTGAAAAGTTCACGTCCCTCTGCAGCCCATTCTTCTGGTGTCGATTCAGACGCAAGACGGGGCACATCAGATCCTGGCGTGAAATTGTTTATCAAGTTTTTGCTCGTCCAAAAGATCTTGATTACTGTAATAAGAATACTGTCTGGATAGGATAGTGCCAACTTACTCTCATGGGTTCTCCCGTCTCAGATCCATCTGCAATCCAGATATTTGCACGAGCTCTGGTGATTGCAACGTACAGGCATTTTAGCTGAACAATACCATTAATACAGTGCAAAGCGATGGCATGATTCACAGTTACCTCACTACAAATGCTGGCATGATGGATATGGTCAAATTGAGGTGTATTCCTTGGGTCCTGCTTGCTCTCTTTGATGGCGTTCAGCACGACACGCCATTGTGCGGGACCAGCGGGTGAATCAGCGAAGAAGTCATAAATTAGGACCTAAAAAGATGCAACACCAGAGTGAAAAAATCATTTCATAACATAGTATATCGACTTACGTCGTTGAATTCAAGCCCTTTGCTTTCATATACAGTGCTACAATAATGGCCATCAGTTACTTGACAATGTAACAATAAAAAACCCGAACAGTACAAGACCAACTTCGCCGACTTGCTCTTGGAGCCTTTTTTTTGCCGTTTCATTCCTAACAATGATGCCTACATACGGAATCAGCTAGATTCGACACTGATAACAGGAGACTTACATTGCTGGGATCCAAACTCGATAAGACTACCACCATCATCAAGAAAGAGAAACCGCTCCAATTGGGCATGATCTTCATCGTTAAAAAACATAGGCTTGACCCCATCTACGATACCCATCTCTGGAGAAAGATGATCGATGGAATCCTCCCAAAAAGTCGTGATAAGGTCAATGACGGAACGCGCGCAATCAACGATGCCTGCATGGGACCTATAGTTGATGGCCAGTTGAAACATTTCGGGTGGTTGCTTGTATCCAGCTCTAGGGCCTTGCTTCCTCCGGTACCGGTCCTAATCATCTAATGAGCTCACGTATACGAATTATTTTGCATAAATCTCACCTCGATATTCCACTGAAATGCCTTCAAAGCATTGAAACGGAAAGAGCTTCCAACAGAGATCGTCTGGGCAGTGTCACCCGCCCAGAAGAGACCATCTGCATTGCTACATAATGCCCTCAAGACTAGATGGTGAGTTAGTTAGTTGATCATGGTCCACGTGAGACGAAAATTACCCATAGTATCTATGAGCATGTTATCCTGTACTTCGTCGATGTATCTGTAACGATATTGATAACGGATAAAGAGTATGAGCAAAGGACTCACAAATGGTCGAGTCCTTGTCCCGGGATGCCTTGCTTTGTGAAATGCTTTAAGATACTATGGGTTCTAGATCCTGATTATCTTCTATTCATGGAACTTCAACAAAGACCTTACCGATCTGCAGTGTCGTACTCCCCTCGCAATTTCTTCTTGTGCGTATACAACTCGAAGAGTTTGTACACCTCGCATCTCTGATCAGCAAATGTAGAATGCCGGCGTTTACTGAGATCTAGGTAAGCCGCTCTGCTAAGATGCTGCTTCTCTTCGCTGAGTGTCTCTGCTGATCCTTTGATAACACCTGGAAATCCTAGGTTCAGGTCAAGCCCGTTGAGATAATATATAGGTATATTACCTATTATTTCGCTGTACACCAAGGCAGGATCTGAATAAATGTCATTTCAATGCCAATGCGTGGACAAAAGAGAGGAGCAGGAACCTAATTCTTTGACCAATGGCTCGGGGAAATGAGACCAGTAGGACTCGCAAAAAGACTCGAAAGTAATAACACCCATGTGTGACTTGTTGTGCTTGACGCCAATATGCCTTGTAGCGGTCAACATTTGAACACCCATGTCAGCTTCCAACATGTCGCAAAGCTAATCAGAAAAATGAGAAGCATAAATAAAAAAAGGAGTTGTTGCTTACACCGTCAAACGTGATAAATAGCGGGAAGTGTTTCTCCTTGAGGTCACTGTACTTGGCTGGCAAATCAGTCCGCCAATTTACAACATCATCCACATCAATCAGCCCTGAATCATCTTGATACTGTGGAGCTCTCGGTAGGTTCATGAGGTCAACAGATGGCCGCGACGCTATTGTTAAGGAGCTGGACAGCTTCACAAAGTACTCTTGCACTTTCTTAGCAAGTATTCTAGACTTGGTGATGAAGACTTGGCGAGGACGAGGTAAATCCGACTCCATGAGTTGAAATGTCCTCTCGATAAGCAACATTTTGAATAACATGGTAGTTGTTTTTCTACATCAAATAAGTGTGAGCAAAAGAATAAAGCCGGGGAACTGCTCTCCCATACCCTGTGCCACTGCGGCCAATAACGTAGCAAGACTTTGGATGTTCTATAATTCGTGTCTCTTGCATGCTATGAATACATGCTGTCAGAAAATGAACAGGGAGAGCCAAAGACGGTGGCGCACGAAACCATATGAGGAAAAGTCGCATCTACATCTGCTAGAACGGCTACCCAATGAATCAGGTCAGACTTTCGGATAGTATCACATAAGTAACATACTATTCAAAAAGGGCTGCACGTCTTTATGGTTAAATTGTCGGTCCACGGATCACTACCATGAGAACATACCTGCGAGAACGTGACGTATTTCTCGATGCTGCAGGGGAGTTAGCGGCTGTAAATCGGCTCCTCTCTATATGGCTTACACGAGTCTTGAATGTATCTGAGTAGAATGGTCCGTGATTAGTTGGAGGAATGAAAAACGCGAAGCCAACCTGCGCCGTTTCATCGGGACGGAGATCCGGTATGTCTTCAATCTCCGACGGTGATACTTCAGGTAGTGGGGGAAAGAACGCTGGAATAAAAATGTTCTTCGATGCTTGAGAATCTGCGGGCATCCTAACTGCGCATCTGTATCATCACGTTTAGCCTACAGGCATTCAATAGTTACCATGACAAAAAGTTACCTTTTTCGGTATTCCTCTCCCCTTTTCCGAAGCTGACTACTGATAGAACTCCACAGACGATTGTCAATTTGAGCATGGGTATATATACCGAAAATTTTCAGAGCTTCAAGACCCGTAAGGAAAAACCAAATAGATATAAACATTAACTTACCTTGTTGCTCTCTCTGCCAATGAATCAACGTAATTTAGTAACTTGCATTACAACCTTATCCTCCGAACTTACCTTTTCGTCACCCGGGATTGTGTCAATTTGATACTGCAAGGTGGCGTCAGCGATGTCCGGGATAAGAAATAGGTGTCCCACGATGAGTCTTAGATTACAAGTTACTTTAGCCATGAAGATAGGGACTTCAGTCGCTCTTCCGCTCAAACGCTTCTGATTGTTGACAGTGAAGTGACCACAGGAGAGCTCCCTACAATACATCCCGATAAGCACACTTAATATATGATACCATGTGAGGCGACACGTACTTAATCTTCTTCACGGTGATGTTAAACGTGTAAAGATCTTTCTTGTGCGTGCTGCGCAAAAAATTGTCAGCGTTCGTAGATATGATGACCGTCCATTTCCCAAAACCCTCAGCATTGTCAAAGTATAATGCCCTTCGTCGATATCAACGTGATGTCATTTTACGAAAGGACATGAGAACATACGACTTCATCGGCTGAACGATCGGATATGCGGAGGGCGACTCGACCACGGACCCCGAAGCAATCCTCTCCTCCTCAGAAACGATACAATGCTCCTTGAGAGATACATATATCTCAGGACGACGGAGCAGTTCTAAATAGAACTGGGCACACGTCAAGTTTCAACAAACAGCAAGTGGGCAATACTTACTTTCAGGGTATCCTTTTGACTTTGCAAAATATGATCCATGAGGATGGATGCTTCGCTCCACGTTCCCGGCATCTCAACATTCAGGACATCAAAATACTTTTCGACCAAAAGTGTAGCCTCGTCTTCTCGCTTGGCTTGCTGAATCTTCTTCTGTTTGGCCTTACCCTTCTTGTTACGATGATCTGATCTGATATTGATGGAACGGAGAAAAGAGGCAAGATATTGCAAAACTTTGGGCGCGATCTGGGCTATTTCATGGTATCGGGCACATGGTTCTTTTTCTTCGATCAAAGAGGAGGAAATGAGCTCTATCGATATGCGAGATATAATGTTGTAGTGGACCGTCGCATCGTAATTCGCAGGCTCGGAGGGAAAGGACTCCAGCAGCCACGAAATCAACGGTGTGGTCTCACTCAAAGCTGTGAAGATATAAGAGCCTGATAGACCATCAGATACCTCAACGATGTCAACTTACATGACAAGACCAATAGAAGAACGCGAGGGCTCTCATTGTCGAGTAGGTCTTGAAAAACATGCTTGAAATTATGCTTTGTGAGAATGCCTTTCAGCTCCTCTAATGCAGAATCAAGCAGATGGGCCGAGGCGAGCTTTCCAGGGGTGAAAAGGTCGCTGCGATATATCTGCTTGGGAGACATGGTTGCATGATGGCCACGGTGCTTTCTGGTTTATAAAGGCATGGAAACATGCTTCCTACAAAACAAAGCCAAATTTAGACCCCAGAGAGAGCTTTATTAATCACTCACGGGGCTACCCAGGCGCCTAGATAACCTTGAGATGCGTGCTTTGGTCGCGATGAATCTATCCGTGTAGCATCGCCGAAAAGCAGCTACTTCCTGGGAGGCCTTCATTTTGAAGCCTCAGACTAATAGTATTGGTATTGGAAGCGTGAACAAGCTGCCAGTGATAGTGATGTGCTGAACTAGAAGAAGCGCGCCAAATTTATGAATTGTGTAATCGGTCCAGGCTGGACTCCCGCCACCTGCTGTGAGAAAAATCAATTTAATGCACTGTGGATAACTACGATCAATTGCGACCCTGGCTAGCCCAAAACATGTCATCAATACTCTTTTCCATAACACATGTTACGATGGAAGGAAGGGCAGGCACGAGAAAGCGCGTATATTTACAGATATACTAGAAAAAAATCCATCAATCATGAAATGTCTTTAAAGTAATAATACCAAAATCGTTAAGATGCCCGAGCATCCTTGGCGGTAACATCCATCTCTGCAGCAACGTCTTCAGTCGGACGAATATGTCCTCTATCATCCATTCGGGCGCTAAAGGTAACCCCATGAGAAATCATCAAAGTTAATGAGACAGATGAACTGACATGATCTCATCATCTAAATCAGTATGGTCCTTGATCCGCATGATAACCATAGGTAGTGCAAATACGAGACCTCCGACAAGGAGAGCCCATTCCGAAATAAACATATTCATGTACCTATATGACGCATCAGGACGTATCACAATAAAGTCACTGAGAGACATACGGAATCTTGACAGCGTCCGCACGCCATATCCCAGCTGCCCCAGCCGACTGGATCGACTTGTAGAACCCAGCAAAGAACGCCAACTTGGATGGATCATTCGACATCGCACCCATAAGCCAGTACGACGTCGTCTGCCACATTGCATCGAGAATCCCACAAAATATGTAGAACATTACCCTCCCTGCGTATCCGTGATCGTAGATATCCATTTTCTCCGTCTCTGGTGCGACGCTTTCGCGCGTGTACTGCTTTTGGTAGAAGTATCCCCAGATGTGGACGACGAAGACCATTAGGAAGAGGACAGTCCAACCTGTGTAGGCGCGGATACGACGACTGATGGATTTTCGGTCGAGGAGAAGACCGATGAGGACGGACCCGATGATTTGGGAGATCCAGTAGCAGACGTTGTTCAGGCCTCGGGCGCGGATGTCGAAGATGGCGCCATTGAAGCCACTGAATTCTAGATATGGTTTGAGCATCTGTTAGGTAAATTGAGAAAAGGATATGGGTACTGACGCCAGGTATAGAACCAGTTGGAAGCGAAAAACATTGGGAAGAGAAGGATGATCATTGGATCAGTCTTCAGCGTCACAAGCAGACCTAGGATTTCGGTCTTCAAGGAGGGGTGTCGGGGCGTCATAACTTTTGTTCCATCGGAGCGGATCATCTTGTTGGGGTTCGCCATGAGCATTGGAATGAAAACTCCGATGAGTGTAAGGACAAGAAATCCAACCTGTACATAGTTTGAATAAATATTAAGTTGATAGAAAATGCCAACGCGCGTATGTCCCGTTATCAACGGCGTTGGCCTATAAACAAGAATGAGCACGAAGCCATGTGTTACGAGAAGTCAAGCACTTACTGTCGATTTCCAGTTTCTCCCAGCAGCAACAGACGCTCCAACGACACCGCCAAGGTTGAAAATAGACCAGAAAATCCCGATAAATTTCCCTTTTTGTGTTTCGGTAGGATACGCCATCATCAACGAGCCCTGTGCTGTCCATAGAAGACCAGCACATATACCGAGGATGGCTCCTGCGGCGACAACGAATCCACCAGCATTAGAGTGGATATTGATGGCTCTAGAGACTGTATTAATACGAAATAATCAGTAATAAGAGGGCAGTAATCACAGGTAAGATCCTATGTACAAGCTATAACCCATACTGCCAATCAGGAGCGTGAGTCTTGGTCCAAGGACGTTGTTGACCGATCTAAGCAAAGTAAGTACCGAAAAAGTGGAAGACATTCTTGATTAAATATACTCACCCACCGAAGAATCCCATGAAAGAAAAAGTTGAATATAGAGCGGTGTTCGCATTGGAGTTGGTCTTGGAATCGACTTGACCACCTGCGCCCAGTCCATTTAGTGCGTTGAACAATCCCGGTCCCATAAAGCAAACAAATCCCAGCATCACAATCTACACAAGTCAGAAAATGAAAAATACGAGACTCCAAACGTACGACTTGCCTGGGTGATGGGGTTGTAGTAGAGTCCCTTGAGGCCCGTTGGCTGCTGGTAGACCTTTCGGGCTGCATGATCGTCATTGCTGCTTCCAGTGTAGCTTTTCTCGTTGTCGACGACTGGTTCTGCCATGGCGACTTGGGAAGAAAGAGAGACGAGGTCCGTTCGGGTATAAGTAGCTCAGATAAGTGGCCATCAAGTTACACATGGTGTGTCAATCCAAGAAACATCAGGAACCAGTTTCACAAAAGAAACCGTGAAATGAGATCAACCTGATGTCAGGCTTGAATTCCTCTATCCAACCCTGCTAATTTCGCGTTGATACCGATAAAATAAAATGGGATGAAAAGGATGTAAAGTGAAATGGATTCCGCTGTGAGTTTTGTTGAGTTCGGCAAATGCACCGTCATCACAAGCGGAGTTTCGATTTGGCTGCAGGTGGCCTAGTCAAATTTAAGTCTCCGATCGCATGAAGTAGACATCAGCGTGAAATCGGCTTCGAAAACCGGGGTTGTCAAGGAAAGTCGGATTTCACACATGAAATGAACGCGATATCGGCAGGTCTGAAACCCCGGAATCCAGGAAGCATCAGGAACCAGGCGATTCTATACGAAACCCCATCAACGGCGAGTAACATGCTCGGATTAATCAGCCCATGAGTCAAGAACGTCTACTGGCCAGCCATGCATACCTGCCTGCTCGTCGTAGAGCAAGGAGAGCCAGAAATTTTCGACGATCGTGACGGACACTTTGACATTTTTCCACAATGGAAGAGGTGGTACTAGCAGGCCGAGTTTCAGATAGCCGCATCCGACGACGCCACCTCTACTCTATGCAGCTCTTTCTCGACGTAACCACGCGTGATACTCTTTCTACTCCATTTCTAGCCTTGATATTGCTCTATCCTTTATCTCTGGGACAGCTACACGCGGCGGCCGCTCAATCAATCTCTGAAGGCTCTCTGGCCGTTTTCTCACATGTATCTCGTCGACCTACCCCCGTAAGGGTAGGGCCAGTCTGGATCACATGTACTATACACCTTCGGTGCTTCACGCCCCCCAAATCATGGAGCATAATATTCGGCGAATCTCAAACTGTTTCTAGCCCTAAACAGCCTCTCTCTGTCGCTCCAGCTAGCAGCTGATAACCAACTGGGACTGAAGCATCAACTCAGTTAAGCTTCTCTTCCCCGAGAATCCTTTTCAATGAACTGAACACATGTCGTTCATGCGTACATGCTCCTTGATTATCCGTTGATTTGTTGTGTTGTTCTTCTCTATGAAACTCGGCACCATGACTCGTCGATAAGGGTTGACAATCGGTGAAAGCGATTTTTCTTTGGGTTTGGTTCGGTCTTGGCAATGCCGTCGTGTGAACGAGCTTGATATGTGAGTTGATTGATTGTCGACCAGGAGGCTATTCATGTCCTTCTCTCGCTGTCAGGTTTCTCTAGTCAACTGATGGCGTCTAGACCTGAAGTCCGTTATTATCCAAGCCGTATATTATTTTGTCGTGCTGCCTTTTCCATGAGCTGTAGCAATACACGAGGTAGTCCAAGTTTTACTTTGCCTACCCAGTACCTACCGTCCGCGGGCTACGTTCAGTTCGGCTAAGGAAGTGCTCGGTATAGTGGGTGAATGTAGTACGAGTTCATAATAAGTCACCATCAGTCTGAATACATTTACTCCTTCTCCTCCTATAGTACCACAGTCGATTCATTACCTATCTCTAACCATCTATCTTGTCCTATAGGATCAGTACTCGAAGCTATCAAAGTTAATGTTTCCACCTACGAGTCACAACTAGTTCCGATGGTTAAGTCAAGCAGCCACATTACAGGCACCCTAACATCAGGAAACCACAGTAAAACGAGTTCGCGGTACCGCAGGAATGACCCATAAAGAAAAGTAAATCATTGCAATAAAGAGAACTCTTATTAAGTAAAAGTTCAAACCGTCACATCCACCTTCTGCTCCAGACTCCCATTCTCCTGCGCCTTCAGCTTCTCCGCCTCCAACCTCAGCCGCTCCCTAAACTCATCCCCACGATGATCATGATAGACATACACAAACCTCTTCGACAACTCCCCATTCTCCAACTCAACCACCTCCTCGTATACCTTATACCCCAACAACCACGGAGCAATGTGCATCCATGAAACCCAATAAGCGAAGCAAAGTGCCAAGATACCGATTCCGGTGACCTAGACAAGTGAATACGACAAAGACTCGGAGAAAGAACGCCACGCACCCAAGGTACCCAATACGGAAACGAAAATGGCTCCGCATTCTTCGCAGGCGGTAACCACGGCACCACCAACACGAATATATTCACCGCGATCGAGAACCACAGCGCGATGTGCCATGTGCGGAACTCGGGCCTGGGCACACCAGCCTTGGCCCTTCTCCGCCGGATCCAGTAGATGCCAGTGACCATAGCCAGATCGAAAAGTCGGCTAGGGTACGTCTGGATGGATACAATAAGGTTGAACGCGTCACCGATGGCTGTTCAAGAGCTTTAGTTATGAAGGAGGGGGAAGAATTTGACATACGAGGTCCGATGATCACAATTGTTGTGAGAATAAACTTGAGCAGCATTGGAGCGGCGGGGGTACCAAATGGTTTGGTACTGGCGAAGAAACGGCTGAATGGAAACACCCCTGGAAAGAAGTTTCAAAACGATGTTTGGGCACAAAAGTGGGAGAATAAGGGTACCTTGTCGCGCTACCTCCCTAAACACCCTGCCGTGCCCAATAGCCACGGAAACCAAATTTCCAAATGCCGACAGAGCCACGAAAACAGGTAATACCCTCGTCCCTGCATATGTACCAAATACTGCCGAGAAGAATTTGGCGGCGAGGAGTTGGCCGGATTTCTTGGCTTCTGATACGGGGACAGCAGCGACGTAGGCGACTGAGGCTGTGAGATGGGGATGGACGATAAGGAGAACGAATCTTACTGTTTGCAAAGAAGTAAAGGAAGAAGACTAGGCCGAGGGAGAATGGACCTGCTGTCTTGAGCGTGTGTACAGGACGTGACATTTCGTTGGCGACGTTGTTGGCTGATAAAACCGGTGAATGAATGTTCGATCAGGTAAAAGTGTTGAGATGCACCATTATTCCAACCCGCATACGAAAAGATGACATTAATCATAGCGCTCGCCATTGCATTTCCGTTATTACTAGGATCGAAAAGAAGCAGTCAGCAATCCGTAGAGAACACAGATGACAAACAACGTACTTTATCCCGCTGAATCCATTCTTGAAATGGCTCTTGGGATCCTCGACACGCGTACCGCCTCCAAGGACGACCCATCCCGTGACGACGATGAAACACAGGATGACCACTTTGAAGAAGCCGAGAACGTTGGAGATCCACATTGCTGTGCGGTTGTGGGAGATGACGACTGCTCGAAGATGAGAAGGGTATTTCGAGCTGATGAGATGTATTACGCACTGATACAAGCAATTCCATAGGCGGCTATTGCTATTCCTCGCATAGTCCATTCATTGTATGTTTCTTGACCGTTCGCGTAGAGTATGTATTCGGCGCACACTAAGAGAAGGAGTCAGCCCGATGGTGTGACGCAGCAGCCAATAGATAGTCGAATAGATAGATACCTATAGCATTAGAGCTACAGAACAGGGTTAGTCCGAAGTGAAGTTAAACCATCAATCACGTACCTCGCAAAACTAAGAACGACTGTAATGAACGCAAAGGTCACTGGCAATCTGTCCCGCAAAACGGCCGTATCAGCACTCGCGGAAAGTCGAAGCCGATTGAACGCACAGAAACTTGGGCCGACTATATGCCTGTTCCAGATAAGCCACCTCCGCACCAGCCCTATTCGGGAACATGGCGAGGTATTCGGTGTAGTATGATAAACCCGCTGTAAATCCCTACTTGAGCTAGCGTCCCAGCCGTAGTATGGAGCCAGCCAGCATACCGGCACTAAGGAAGAACCCAATAATCCAAACTTATGAGTACTGAGCATCAGCCCCTGACCCATCACACAATCCCGACTGTAACTCACAAATGATAGCCAATCCAAAACAACCGGTCTGCCTGAGTATAGTTCCGGGCGTCGCTGCGCCACCCAAGCGTCAACGTCCAGAGTCAATGAAGACAAAAAGCACTGACAAAAAATCCCGGTCCCAATCATCATCGAAAAGTTCAACAAGACCGCCGTCCACCAACCAACATCCTTCCCCATCGGACTCGAGTCCTCAATGGGGGCTCCGCCGAGGTTCCTGTGCTCCTCATCCAAGGAGAGGTCATCAGCGAGGACGACGTCCGCGTCTATGCTTTTCTCTTCAAGCTTCGACATGAACCCAAGTAGTGATAAATAAGTGAGTGGTTTCTCAAACCATTCACGGGCCGCTTTTGTTCACTCCAAACCCCTCATCGCAATTCGGTGCTTGGATAGTGCAATCAGGGTGATAAGAGAATTTGTCCAGGGATGGAAAAGAAGGCGCGATATGATGCCAACTTGACGGTGAGACATATGCTCCCACACGGCCGTAATAGAGTACAAATAGGTGACCGGGTCGTGAGAGGTGATGACTGAGGGATGCATAGAGAACGCCGCCGATGATCAGGTCCGAGAATAGAGTTATGCTTCTTGGGCCGTTGGTATATGACCGTGGTATGAGGTCAAGATCACTCGTAAACGCGTCGTTTGGCGATCCATGTGGACGCGCGCTTACGTCGGATACCTAGTTCTAGCTGGAACATCTGCTGAGCCAATAGAAGAATCAGGATTATCGGAAAAGGACATGTAGGCCTGATCCCTGAGAAAGCAGAGTGTTGTCGCCATCGATCAAGGCGGAATGCAACTTGAACCCAGGGGTCGTGCGATTTGAAAAGACTGCAAAGCGATTGGTACTGAGGAGACACAAGCACTCGACAAGAAAGAAAAGGGCTTCCGTGAATTAACGCGGAGACTGGGATGTCCGGAGAACATATGGATGAAAAGAGCAAGTCACAAATCGGGACGAATTCTTGACGTTCCTGGAGAGGCCCGCCAATCGCGCGTGGAGGAGTAGTAAGGGCACCGCAGCCCAGCTATAGAGTAACGGCAAGAAAAGTTCCAAATGCAACATGTCCAGGTCGCGGTACTACGCATACGCCACTTCCATGATCACGTGTGAGGTCAAGATTAGGTTGTAGGACTCTCGTCTCAGCCAGTCTTAAGGGCGGGAAATGTCGAGACAAAAAAAAGTACCCCGCTTGCATATTAGGTCAATGTGGCTGTAAAGGTCTTAGACCACGACATCTCATTGACGTCACACGAGTCATCTAGGCATAATACTTTTCGTTTCCATTCGTCAGAGTCAGCATACATCAAGGGAAAAAGGCCGGAACGATAGTACGATACGGGAGCAGCAGAAGCACGACATAGACGAATGAAAAAAAAAAAAAAAGAAGAGAAGAGAAAAAAATGTTCTATAGCCAATCAACATGAATTATAACATAACCCGGTTTACTCGGTTGCTTCAGCGGTACGCTCGCGAAGAGTATCTGCCTTTGCGACGGCACCGCTCGAGCTTATGTTGTTCAGGACAGGCTTGAGGATGTTGACATATGTAACTTGAGCACCCTGTGATGGCCACGTAAGCAAAGCAACGCAACGCAACGCCGGTCCAAAAAATTCAGTCACACGACACCGCGTAAGCGAGTCGTGTCGTGTGCTGAAAAGCCAGGAACAACCAAAAAGATACGCACTCGGAAGACAGGAAGTTGCAACCACACAATGAAGAGCGTCTTGAAGGCAAAATACCATGGGACGTAGTACAGCACAAGCCGGAGAGCAAAGCTCTCCAAAAAGTTGAAGAACCCAAACACGACCCAGTACGTCAGCCACTGCACGTCATCGTGGGGGGATGGCGACTCGACGGCCTTGAAGGAGAGGTACGCAGGGAGGGCCCAGCCGACGAGGTTGGAGACAGGAGCAGCGAAGGAGTTGAAGATGTGCAGGAAGGTGATGATGAAAGCACTGCCTAGGACGAGGTAGCCCTTGGGCACCTGCGTGCGTTGCTCCAAGTTGATGAGCACAGGATACTTGGTAAGCTAGGACATGATAAGCACACCGCGAGCAACAACAAGGATGTATTAGAAACTAACCTCCTTGTCCAGCTGGCTATAGTAGTACTCTCCCTTGCTTTTCACCTGTTTGAAGGCCGGATGCTGTTGCAATTTTTCGACGGCTGACATCTGCGTGGAGGAGAGCGTACGTCAGCATTGCAAGACAACGCGGCCGACGTCATAGGAAACGATAGCGCCGGCAGTGGCAATATGGAAAGACACGTACGGCGACAATGGGAAAATGAAGAGCGGGATAAGCCAAGTAGAGTGCTGGTGGTTGTTTTCAGAAGAGGAAGGGCGCAGGCGCCAACCCCTGATATTGGTTGCTTACACGTGTTTGGCAGGGTAGTCACCCTCTGCCATGGACGAATACAACGCCCTCAAGGTCCGTATCTGTCCTCGCTCTATGCTCGTCTTTCTCTTCTAACTGGTGCTACAGGATCTGCATAATATACTCCCGCCATTCCAGCCAATCATCCCAGTCAGTCTGCTGCCATACATCGCACTAGTGCTGCTTTCGGCCACGTTTACACTGGCGTTCTACTTTTCAACGTATGCAATCTCACTGTATTACTCTACTGTTTCTGATGGATAATAGGCTACCCAAAGACACGATACCTATACGGGAAATGGTGGTGGCATCTACCGCGAGCATCTTGGGCGGGTTCGGGGTGGTCGCGCTGTTCTGCACAGTCGGGGTGTACGTCTAGTTGTTCACGCGCCAGCCGTGTTTGCACGAGACGCACTGGCACCAGTCAGGATCGTGGTTGACATTTGGAAGGGATACTCACAGTGTAAAAGACGGTGGAACCTTCATCTGCACTGCGCAGCTGTTTCATTTGTTGAGTCTCGGATTATATTACGGTTCCATTCTTTTGCGACGTACCTGTAGCTCCTTTGAATAGGCCTCCATATGGCCGCAGTTGGGGCATTTCTCGGATACCTGGAGAGACGTTGGTCTAGAACACAAGGCAGGACGAACAACATACGGCGGTGCCGTGATCTGCACCTTCATGGTGCTTTGTCTGCGTCTTTCTCTTCTGGCGCAAGGCTGAAGGAAACGCGTCCGGATGGGAATGCGTCGTGATCTGGATATTCTCATACGCTGAACAGAAAATTAAATACCGATCGGCTGACTTGCATTGTCGACTCACAGCTCGCAGGCTCTTCGTGATCACACTGATCGCAGTTCACATCTGTTTCGCCATCCTTGGGCAGATCCAGCAAGGTACCGCAGTTGGGGCAGAACAACAAAGAGCCTTTGAAGAATTAATTGATGGAATCCGAGCAAGGAATAACAAGAACCAACCAATTTTGTGCGCCCTGGTCGCCATTCGAGATGAAGAAAATTTGACACGTGACAGGCGCGTACGGATGCGGACCGAAAAGGAAAAACAGGAACGAGAAACTTGGACGGTAATTTCGTAGAACAAAGGCTGCGATTGACGAGGGCGAATTCTTCTTTTGTTTTCCAGGGCTGATAATTGAAATTTCCTTGTTCTTTCTGCCCCCTATGTCAACAAAACAATAGCTTGTTCCAAAAGCAGCCTGGGTTGTTTTGTTGTCCCTGGCGTCTAATGCTTGCTTTGTGGGTCCAAAGGTAGTTAATAAAGCTCGACAAAGGAGATTCAACATACCATTCATCTTTCTTCCTCCTCTGTTTTTCACCCACGCAGCGCGTGCTCTTCAATAACCAACTACCATCATGCCCCGACCCCTCCCCTCCCACCGCTTCACCTACCTCTCCAACACCCTGCGCCACTCCAAGGCCCAGTACGAGTACATCGCTGACTCCCATCGCGCCTCTGTATGCCTCACGAACAATGCCCGGAAACGCGCCGCTCGCCTCCACCTGGCCGTCGATATCATTAAAGCCCGCCAATGCCAGCAGTCATTCGTCTCCAAAATCCCCCTGCCGCATATCGATGATTCCATCTGTCTCGACAGCTCAGTCGTGCACGCTGCGTCAGAGGTGTTCTACCCACAGGTCCACGAGCGGCTCCCGCCCATTGTCATCCCTGCCCCGAATGACAGGCGCCGCTCTTTGTCGCCCGATTTGGAGCTCGTTTCGCGGTTCTCAGCGTGGTCGGACGCAGACGTACCACATACGGCTTCTTCTGGCCCATTCTGCAGCTCCTCAGCGTCGTCGGCGTCGCTCATGACCCCAGTCAGTCCAACTTTCTCATTTTTCTATCCTTGACTGAAAAGCCCACACCAGGATCACGACCATCCCCCCATCATCGTTCGCATCAAGCGCAAGTCCATGTTGGATGAAGGCTCTGATTATGAAGCCTCAGAGAAGCGTCCGAGAGTGAGTTTTTTGTACCTCAGTTTCACGCCACATCGTACTCAAGAATTGCCCCAGTACCTTCGAAAGGACTGGTCCTCTCGTCGGATCTGAATTCTTCTTCCAAGACAACTCACCCTTGTTCTTTCACGAAGACTTTTGATACAATGCCTACTTATTCCCTTTGGTAATATACCTACTTACTGTCTCTCGCTATCGCTATGCTATACTTGTGGACTATCTGCTAGCTACCTTTATGTCGCAAATCTTAACGAGTTTCCATTCCCTTTGGGCTTATAGCTTTGTAGTTGAATATTGAATAGTCAGCCTATCCCAATATTAGTACTATAATTAGTACTTGTACCCATCAAATACGATCCACGCCTCCAAGTCGCTGGCCTCCGTTACGGGTGTGCATCTGAGCGAACCAGAAATTGCTTCCTGCACGCCTTCATCTACAGCAGATGTGTGGCGCAAGAAGATGGCAGCATTCTTGACGATGACTGAGGCCGTCTGAAAATTAGTGGAACTGCGCTCCGTTGATTACAGACAAGTAAGCATCCGACCCAGTAACAAACTGACGTGCTTTCAAGTTATCCGAATCGGATTTTCGTTCACATTCTGTACAACCGTTGCAAGATGATCTTGCCGAGTCGGACAACTTCCATCCAAAACAGTCATGATAATTCCAATAATATATACATGAGTCCAAATTCAAAATCCCCCCGCCTGAGTCTCGACTACAACCAACCTCCCTTCCTTCGTCATACGCGGAAACATCTCCTGCACATCCGCTCTCGTGACAGGAAACCTAGTGTCTGACTCGGGAGAGAACACCGCCCTGTAAGGCTGTCTCTGAATCTGTACAGACAGCTCGCATAGACAGGGCCACGAAGCAAATATCACATCGAGGGCCTCCCACTTGTCGTAGAACATGCGCACGTCTTCGAACAGGCAGAACTGGACGAGCTGGAGGGTGCAGGATTCGATGGAGATGTCGGTGGATGGGATGGGGAATGAGGCGATGAGCCAGTCGAGCCAGGATCTGGGGGCGGGGTGCTCTTGGCTGGAGCGTGCGGTGGAGTGAATTTGAAAGTCGACGGAGAGGACGGTCGTTGGGTCAATGAGGGTCGTGAGAGGTTCTATACAACGATTATTAGTTATGAATACTACGATTAGAAAGGGCATACCGTTTAGGCAGACATTCAGTGCAAGATGTCGAAGGGTAGCCCTGTTCCTCCGTATGACCTCCTCAGTGGTATTCACCACGCTGACGTCGCCGACGACATAGCACATACCAACATGTATCTGTATTCGGTGCAGGTTGTCAAAGTGGATCGACGACTGGGAAGGGAACTCGCGATTGAGGAGACGGAGGTACCAGAACTTGCCGCAGGATACGAGGAGAGAGTTGGGTGTGAGTGCAGGGACACGGGGGTAGAGGGAAAGGTCGACGTGACTGCGACAGGTGATCATGCCTACGGATAGGCTTGAAAGATGAGGGCATTCGCAGAGCATCGTGAAGAGCTCCAGCGCTGAGCCAAATGGCATCGAGAGGGTAGTGAGGGTCGGCCGCCGCAGCACGCTAATGAACGCGTCTCTGACGGTGTCGGGGCATGTCGTGAGTAAAGGATGCAAAAGGTAATTGGTGAATGAGAATCGTTCGACGTTAATGAGGCTTTCAAGAATAAATGGGAGGTAGCGGTGCCATATTCTGGATATCCTGCTGACAATGAAGTTTGAGATGATGGTGGAAAGAGAGGTGTAACGCCAATAGTCGCCGTGTATCTTGACTGCGAGTTCTTTGACATTCCCAGCGAGATGGGGTGACGACTTGAATGCCTTGTATAGAGGCCGTATGTCGGGAGCTATCCTGACTGTCGGCTGGAAAGGTGGTAGGCGCGACTTGGTCCGGACGTGCAGCGTTATCTCGAGCTTCCGCCATAGATACTTCTGAACAATCGGCGTCCACCCAGTACAGACAATGGCACATGCTCTCAGCGCATCCTCGTCGTCGTGCAGCTCATGAAGCACGATGCACACGACCTCTGCTGGCAGCTGCGAAACGATGAGCTCGAACCAGGTACCAGGGGACGAAAAGGACAAACCTGCATAGTGGTGGGAGTGAAAGGAATGGATCATCAATCAACAAAAGTGGTATTTCCATGCTGTCCATCTGCGTCCGAATCCGATCTTTCAGAATCAGAAGCACGACCCTGAATGATCCTTTTCCCTGCCAACGTTCGTCTTCGTCGGTGCCGTCGCCGTCTAGAGCACTAATTCACTGCGAAAGGTTAATGTTGGTGGCGGTAGATGGAGGAGCCAGCAGTGGCCGATCCCAGCTGGGGTCACGGTCCAGACCTGGCCGCATGACTCTCCCATCATCCCTCTACCAACATCTCATCACCAAACTTGTCGTCGTTCTTGACCTCGTGCAACAGTCGGAGGGAATTACGACGCCGCAAGCCAAGCAGGCTTTATTGCATGCGGTAAGCTCGACCGACCGACCGACTATATTGCTTTTCGCTGACGGCATAATTAGACCAACGATTTTCGCAATGCCGTAGCGACTGCCAAACGCCTCGCACTGGATCTCCCGGGTGGCGAGCTCGTTGTGAGGGAGCAAGACGAGATTATCATGATGTTGACGCAGCTCAGAGATGGAAAGAGGTCGGTCTGTGGTGATTTCCGACCCCTTGTGCTGTTACATACTGATTTCGCCTAGGCGTCAGCTGCACCGATTTTTTGTGGCCGCCGAAGACGACAATATGGATTTGGATTCGGCCGCCTCGACACCGTGACGAACGATGTGTATTTCTGTATCTGAATAAACGAAGAGCTGTCCTTCTCAGCGATAACATAAAGGCAATCATACCCGATGCGTCCATCTCACGCCATGATAAGCATCGTGGCGAATCAACACTTGGGTGCCCCTTGCCCTTCCGGTAGTCGCTTACCACAGCGACTAGCAGAAATGTATATTCAAGGCACGACTGGAGTGACCCAGCATCACGGATCTTACATATGGTCAGAGCTATGAAATCCCAGATTCATTTTTCCATCACTATCACAATCTTCGCGGGATGAAGCTTGAGTGCTAACATGTGGGAACCCATCAACGACTTGCCGACTTTTTGGCTCCCTGACCGGATCTCCTATTTCTTCCACGTCTATTGGTATCCTATATCTATGCGTCGACAGTTCTATATTCAGCATCGTCTTGAACGACAGCCTCACGGCAGCTCTGTTACCCTTCCGCGCATCAGACTACGATCGTGGCTTGCTAATGCTACACCCTGTAGCCATGCTTTTGTTCTCTTCTATTTCTCGCAGCCTGCCAGATGTACCAAGAGTGACATACCTGCGCTAGATGTCAGTCCCTTTCTCCGAATCATCATCCTCAGGACCTCATTACTGTATGCCAGGCGCCCAGCCAAAGATGTCTTGTACAATCACGACCTGCTCAACATTGTACGCCGGTTCTCTGGGACATTGACCGAGCGCCGAAAACTTATATGACTCATCGAACTTATTAACGGCAGATCTGGTACTCTCGAAAGCCGTCATACTACTTGTGAAAGAGCTCTGAATCACCTCTGGCACGACGTACGTGGCGTAAAGCCGCTAGTGTCTCTTCCCTCTCACTTTGCGATCTCCCATATGTACTGTCGTGATCCTTCTTCACAGAATCCACTACTGGCTTTCGTAGATTCTCTTCGATGCCATACCGGACGAAACATGGGCCGACCGCCTATACTCGAGTCATGACCGTTCCATCACTCTTGATGCAGACTCACGGACATGGCACTCCCTAACTATCTTCCTACAGAAACAAGAACCCTCTTTCCCAGATCGCAGAAGCTCACGGTTGATATGGTTTTGTCGGCGATCCTTCTGTATACTATTACTTGGTCTTCTGTTGGATGAGGCCCTGATTACTTTCTCTCCCGATCCGAGGCTGCCATGACATCCACGTCTGTACGGACAGTTGGAAGGCACCAAGACTTCGGTGATTGACCATCGCCCTCCGAAAAGTTTCCTCACGGGATGCATGCTGTGCGTCCCTTAGAATACATGTCCCTTCAACAGTCTCTTTAATTTGCCCCAGTTGCGTAAATTGAACATCGAAACGCACTTAGACGACCTCGAGTTTTTGGTCCCGTGTTCCCTCAACTTCCTGGCCTCTGGGTCATTATCATTCAAATTGAAGAGCGTAAGGAGCGCCAGATTCCCATCCCCGAAATCTCTTCACATCACCATTCATATGCCTCACATTCTTAGGTCAAGGATCCTTAATTGGCTTGCCTGATCGTGACCGATCCGACAGTGTGATGTTGCAGATTTCACGCAGGGTTTTCATGGTGGAAATTGTATCCCGATTTCCTTCTCTATCGTTGAACTACCGTTCCGACGGGTGTCTTGAGGAACAATATTCGCTCTATGATTTATCCAAACTCTGGTGTGATCTGCCTGGGAAACGATACGGTAGACCAGGATGGCTGGAAATTGGATCCATTAATGTCACCTTTTCCTTGGAACGTCCCTGATATATAGAGTCCTAGCTATCCTAAGCGAGATAAAGGTGTCGTCTCATGGAGTGCGCGCCTTCTCTTCACCCAAAGCAAGGCTTCACTGCTACGCTAGTGGTACTCGTTATATAAGGTATTTAGTTGCCCCGTTTCGATTAGCATTGATTAGGGGATGGGATCAGGTTGAGTCTGTTAACCTGAAGGCCGGCGCGCAGGGATCAACGGCTGAGAGGCTGATGACGCTGTGGACAGTGCGTGTAACGTAGAGAAGGGAGAAATGAATATTCAGGCTTGTTTGTGTGGTGAGCCAACCGCCATCCGATGCGTATCCATTGTTTTCTATCAGACACAGTACATTTTCAGCCCGCTCGTAGACTTTTCCCAAGTCATACGCGAGAAAATTACGGCAAATACGCGAAAATAAGTTGGAAGTTCTTCTCAGGCTCACGCTGCGTGTCGCTCACTATTTAACTCCGGGTCACTGCTATTCTTCTCTTCTATAACCTCAGTTTAAGAATGTCTATATGGAACGTTCAAGCAGGTTTTTTTCCGGAAAAAACGCGGTCTTTCTTTGTCCAAACTTCAAAGACATGGAAGGCTCGAAACACATTATTGCGACATAGGGTCTTGCGCGATGGACTGCGGCGGGACGCAAACTAAGATGCTTAGGCTCGTCCAAATACCTCAAGGTTGATTGATTGTCATTCAAGAATCCAGATACACACCCACTAACGACGCGCATGGAAAGGTTAGTCAACGGCTGAACGAAGGTTGTATATTGCAACTAGTCGAGCTGAGTGTCCTGAATCAGACGCTGCTAGTTTTGTTCTACTGCCCGACGCGTCTAGGAGTGTCCGGAAGGCTGTCTACTAAGGAGATATTGTCATATTAATATCTCTGCTCAGAATGGACATCGGGGTGCATCACCGGTAGTGTGAATGCGCGTTCGACGTGCGGGAAATAGCTGGGAGTTTGAGGGTAGGTGTAACATCAGCTGTTGTTCTTCAATTTTCACAGGATCTGCCAGCGTTTAGTCTCCGCCGGAGTATGTCCACCGGGCAACCAGCATTCAAATCTCAGGATACATGCTGCAGCCTGCAGCTTGCAGCTGACGACACTACTAAGGGACAATCTGTAACACCAATACTTCCAGTTATTGTGGCACAATATTTACATCAAGCTGGTTTTGACTTGAAAAATATCTCGGGAGACTATCGATTTAGAACAACTCAAGGCTCGAATGGACAAGCCTCTCGCAGCCTGACCTTTCGCTCTTTGCCTACGGCGGTTATCACGAGGAACAGCGTGTCGTTATTTGCGGCGTCCATTACTACCCAGTTCTTGCAACATACTGGTCGAGACTAGGACGTCGGAGAAACTCTCACACATGTAGGTGCTTCGACAGGGTGGATTGCTGGAAATACAACCGATACTCCGGCTGGGATGAATAGCCAAGATAGTATCGGTACCGTTCGCACTCGGTTGCATCTGGGGTAGCTCCCACCAAGGTGATGGATCTGCATGTGGATCCATATATGTAAGAGGAGCGTTCCCTGTCTCTGGGTAAGTGCAAAAAGGTTGCAGAGCAGTCTCGGTCTGCTTTTACCTACCAGCCGTGTTATGCTCTATGCTTGTTTTCAGCCATCTACTCGTCAAAAACACGCTGTCTATCTGGAGGAAATGATCAAGTCGAGGTCTATATATTTCTATCATGCGAGTTAGCTTCTGCGAAGCGCACCATTTTTGTCATGAAATTGCGGATTTCTGTGTGTGGCGCACGCCACCTTGCATTCAATGAAGCCCTGGCAGTAAATGCTGTATGGGTCCTTCCATTCTCCGATGTTTGCATTCCCGATCGTTGTAACTTGTCTAGGGAGCAACCCCATAACGGCGCACAATTCCCTGATGCCTTGAGCCATGTCACGACGGCTAATCTACTCCGGCAGGTCGAAGACTTCCAATCAGCATGAAGTGAGGCGTGTTTTACTATAGAAAATTCGCTGGTTAGACTGATTATCCGAACAGTGACGAGAGCTGAGGTTCTTCTCACCACGATGTCGACGCCCAGATCTCCGTCAACCATTTGCTGCTCGATGAATTGTTCCTACTTGCTCCTCGCCGCACACTATAGCAGGGTGTTTTGTCAATGGTGTGGAAACACAGAAGATAGTAGTGAGGGTTTCACTACCTGTCCTATAGCACTTGGGCGACCTTTCAAAACAGGGAGCTAGTGAGTCCGAGTCGCGACGTCCGGTCGAATCATTACGTCGCCGTTACACAAAGTTTTAAGCTTTATATTACGGTGTTGCCCAGGATTTCCTGCAGCTACTTGGATGCAACTCTCGCACTGACACAGAGCCATGATTTTTCTTGGCAACGCGCATTCGACGAGGCGCTCTGTTCCGCTGCAGGTCCCAAATACAACCGTCGGTATCCATCCATCTAATAAATCGGAGTCGTAGTGTCACAGGACTAGCGTGGCTCATGTCATTGGATAATGGTTGCGAAAGTATTGATTACGCGAAACTGTCAAAAGGATAGCATTAATAGACGCAGGTACTTACCGCAGGCAAAGGGTGCAGTTCTTTTCTTTGACTGTAGGGGATTCTGTTCCGCAGCTAAGTTTCTCGTGGGACCCTCTCAGGACAGCCTCCCAAAAGGAGGGAGTTCGGCGTGGAATAATGTACACGCAAGGACTGTCGGCAAGAAATGAATTAAAAGACTTTTTATAGTCCCAATTGTCCGATGCGAGGGGCTTCATGTATTTGCGACCAACGCGAGTGCGAGTTCATTATCCAAACGACCTTGGCATGGCTGTCAACGGAACATGGATTCCTTCGTTTAGTAGTCAACCGTTCCCTCGACGTCGTCGCCACTTCATACTGAGGTACTTAGTACCGCAAGGAAATGAAATAGTCATTTATCATTGCAACCGGAAGTGGAGCTAAAGGGGAAACGGGGATCATGAGCGCACGTGGTAAATATTATGCTCTCACGAATACTCTCACGTCCTTCCATTCGTTACGAGCTCATTGCCGAAAGGCTCTTGCTCATCGACCACCATGGCAAGCTACGATCCAGGTGATCCCTTTAGATCACACCTCATAGCTCTGCTTTCTGCATATGCTCTCGGTCCTGGGTCCCTATCTTTGCCCAAGTACGCCGGCCCATCTGACTGGCAGACAGATTCCATCTTGCGTACTCTCTCCGACCTTGCTGCGAGAATGTATCGCGCTGAGAAGGCCCTTTGGTCTCTCGGCACCGACTCCAAGCAGGTTTCTGCCATAAAGGCGACAACGATGACAGCTTCACCTACGCCATCCACGACCATCATGCGCACCTGTGCGCCGGCTGCTGCGCCAGCCTCTGTCGACCTCGATGACCTATTGTCCGGCAACGATACACCTTCATCTTTCCATAAAAGCTCATCTGGTATTCCAATGCAGGTCGCCAGCGTATCCTCTTC